ACTCAGGCACTCAATTGCAGGGCCATAGCAATAATGTAAGTAGAAGTAAAGTTAGTACTGTAAAATTAAAACATTATTTTTAATCAATAAGCCAAATTCTTCAAGAAGCAGTTGTATAAGTAGCTGGATAGAAGTTTTTTTATTTAAAACTTTTTATAGAATTTCTTTAAAAACACAATTGTTAATCTGGGCATTTGGCGATACAACATTTATAGAATTGCAAGATTTGTTACGTCAAGCGCTCAAGTATCATAATTTTGACCTAGTTGCGCTTCTATGTCATATTGATTTATGTTGCTGAGTTAACTTTCAAAATATTCTATGGCTGGCAACAGCATTTATAGTTTTTAAGTTGTTTATTTTTATTTCTTTTTGAATTCGTAATTTTTTTAGCGAAATGTTTTTTAACCTAACAGAATTCTTTGCCGACTGTTTTCTCTATAAATGAAGAAAATAAAGTAAATATTTAAGTGTTGTGAAAAGAATCTTATTTAGTTGTACAAAGTACTTCTTTAAAAATGAAAACTGTTGCCACCAGCGGAAAAGAAATACATCCAAAATTTAGGAGCCACGTAAGAGAATTATATATATTAGATAAAAAAATAACTTACCTTTACTCTGATAAACCAGATCTACCAGACACCTAGTTATAAATAAATAAATAAATAAATAAGAAACATTGGAATTATTTTAGCTTTATTATTTGTGCCGGTATTTGCCCTAAAGTTTTGTGCATAATTTTGTAATGTTGTTCTGTACTGAGTAATTGATGGTTATTTTTTCATCTCTTACGCAAAACTGGTATTCAGCTAGTAATGATAAAAAAATCGTTGTAATAATTATACGCAAAAAAGTGAATATTTCTCTTTTTCTTCTTACACTTGCTATTGTTTTTCATTTAAATCTAAGTTAATATTTGTTTTTCCTTTTTAATACTCATTCCAGAATATTTTAAACTCGCTTAAATTTTTTTTAGTATATGGTTTTCTAATGACCAAGAAATAGAATTTTTTTTTAAATTAAAGACGAAAATTATGCAATTCTTTAATTGTTGTATGGCATGATAATTTGAAAAAGAATAAATAATTTTATCAACATTTAAATATTAAATAATGTAAAATTTTTTTTATTAAACATTAACATAAGCTTTGTAATAAGATCATTAAATTACGCCTTGTCTGTGTCCAGTTTATTTCTTTAAATGGCAAACGTAATTAGGCTTAACCAAAATAATTATATATTGTGTCAGTTTTACTACCTAAGCACATAATTAATTTCTGTTAGCAAACACAATATTGGTTTATCATACTTAGTATAAACTTTTAAAATTATATATATTGTAAGCTAATTGTATAACCCGGCTTTTTACGAATTGACGGCATCAGGTTAATTGGAAAAATCTTCAGTATCTCCTGATCAGCCTAATATTTTTTTACTTATTACATTCAGCCTATATTTAGACTAATTAGAAAATCTGAGAATCAATTTTTCTGAGAATCAAATTGACTATGGCTTAATATAATGAACCTTAAATAAGGCTACATACAATAAGCGTTACTAAAAGTTAAAGGTTTGTTGTAAATTTCCTGAAAGAATTAAGGCTAACTGAGTTATGAATTATGTGATTTTCAAGCAGACCAAAGGTTTGTTAATTTCATTTCAATAAGATTAAAAAGTGGCTCAATTCAAAATGCCATCTGTATTCTCAAAAAGTCGAATTATACAATTAGCTTATTATGTATACATTTCAGTTTACACAAACCATAATAAACTAAATTCAGCTTCGTTAATTGGAACATAATCTTTATTTGCATTATAAAATGTTTGTTGCTTGTAGACTTATTTAATTAACCTACAACAGATATTTAAAATTTGTATTTACACCTTAAATGAAAGATGAATTCCAAGTTCTCCCGAATTTTTAATTTTACAGTTGGAGTATTTTTTTTTTTTGAATGAATAAATAAATTTAAACCTTTATGTATTCCAAAATTCTACTGAAATTTATTTCAGCTGTGAAAAAAATAAATATGTTGTTCCATACCTATGCTGAAAAAGCTATTCAATTCCATAAACTTTTGAAAAGAAATTTAGCTTTATTTGAAACATATACTAACAAATTATTGCTGATAAAAAAAGTTACTTGATTGATTTATATGACAATTATATTTAATTTTTATTCGCGAATGTCTCATAAAAAAGCATTTTCTCTCCTAAAGAAGTCGTATTTAGTTTATATTATTCTCATAAGACAAAATACCGAAATTGAAATGTAAGAAACTTCTACTAACTTATATCTGTTTCAGCAAAATTAATAACTAGTTCCTTACCTATGTTGAGAACACTAGATCCAAGAAGAATTTTTCTAGATTAGGTCCACGAAGAATTTCGTTTTTTTATGCAGCAAACACTATTCTGTAATGTCATGTAATTATACATTTACGTGACTTATGTGAATCTTCTCTCGTAAATGTCAATAAATTATATTGACATTTAGGATTAGTGATTTCTAAAGACCGCGTTCTAAACTTCGGAACTGTATCATAATAAGAACCTTAATTGTTCAGTCGACTTTTTAGATAAAGATTTACATAAAGCTGATCAAAATGTTTCCATTATAACTTATCTTCTTTCTCAGCTGTTCAAAAATCAATTTTTGTCATACAAGCTGACTCATTTGACTCGTGATTGAGAAAATCTGTGTCGTCAAAAAATTTACTTTAAAAATCTACAATTAATATTTTATCTAAAATTATAATTTCAAAATGTAAGAAAATATTAATTTAAGAAGCTTCGGGCTATATTCGTCTTCTAAATAAAATATTCACGATATTGAAAATGAATACGAATAATTACAATCTAATATAATAAGTTCTAATAAAAGTATAACAATTGAATTACTTATTTTGGTTAATTTATTATTCATTAAAAAAATAGTGATTAGAAAAAAAACATTAATAGCGATATTTATATACCTCTCTTCTTGCATTAAAAAAAAAGTAATATAAGGATAGTCTTTTCTCTCGTAAATTCTTCTTAAATATTAAAGATCTTAAATTGTATTGCAAAGAACAATTCGAAAAAAATCAAACTGGCGATTATTAAAAAGTTTGCAAATAGCAATAAAAAATGCTTATTTATAAAAATTTTCTAAATCTGTACAATGCGCAAAAAAAGTGAACGCCTTCAATAACTTTTGATATAACGATCTGATGTTTTTTCTAATTCTTAGGATTTAATATCAATGGTTCCGTGGCCTAACCTTAAATATGCTAAATAATTAGTACAGATACCATATAACGAAAGCAACGAAATCAACGGACGCAATAAATTACTTTCTTTTTTATGACGGACTTGGATTTCTGGAACTCAAAATATGTGTTAGTAATAATCTGTAAAGTATAATTCCAACAATTTAAGCAGGAGAGCTATCAAAAGTTTAGACCACTTAATGTTAAGATAAATTTCTGTGTATTTCGAAATACCTCGAGAACTAGTTAAGCAAAAGTTAAGCAAATCGTAGTTTTATTCAACTCATTAAATATTTAAATTAAAATTTGTATATATTTTTTTTTACTTCAGAAGTTTTTACTTGGCCCTCCAAACTTTTTTTTCGCTCGATTTTTTGCCCTCGACTAAAAAAGTTTGCCCATCCCTGCTCTAGTGGCACAACTGAAAAATGCGTGTAACTCTCGCTTGTCGGAGTTCTAAACTGGTGGACGCATTAATAAATCGCAAATTTACCATCTGATTGTATGGTTTTTAAATTTACCTAATTTATTCTCAAACAGCATAAAAAATAAATCAATATTTTTCTAGTAATTTTACCATAGAGTAACGTTAAATATAACCGTACTTTTTGCTGTTGCCTTAAAATCAGTAACTCGAAAATGTTACCTTATTCCAGCAGTTTTGGCCACACTTTCTTCCAAGTATATAACTTTAATTTTTGCAATAAAATGTCCATGTAAAAAAAAATTTATAGAATATCCATGTATATTGAGAAACAAAACAATATTTAAAGAAACCCTATTTCGTATTAACGGCTGCGCATACTTCTTGTTTCAACTTAAGCTCATTGAAAGTGAGACATCGAAAAAAGTATTAATGTCCGAACTTTTTTCTTTATTTGATAACAGTTTCCATAAGGAACATACATAATTATTATATACAATGTTCACATTTAAAGTCTTCTACACATTAATAACGCGACCCAGAAAAATTAACAAATTAATTCTTCTGTCTACAACTGCAAACATGAAAGGGTGGTTTGCTAGAATTGTTGGTGGGACAGGAGGTGTAAAGTCAACGGTCATACCAGCTCCTTGGTTCGATTCATCAACTTCCAGAGCAGTCTTGTGAAGCGTTCCAGAGACAGCTAATCCTTTACTAAATGTCATGCCAGAAAAATCTCCTGATCCATCGTACGCGCTTTCAGCTCCCAATGCTTCAAAATCTTTCGAGAAATCTCGGTAGTACTGGAATTTGAATTTCGGAAGAAGTACCATTGTCTTTTGAGACTGCAACTGGTTTAGAACGTTTACAATATTGTCCGGGGTCATATTCTTTTCTAAACTTGAGAGACCATTTTGCTGTTTTGGTAGTAAAATTAGTAAACCTATATTTCCTCCAATGTATGGTAACAATAAAGCTTGATAAGTATCATCTTCTAAGTAAGGGAATGAGTGGATAACTTGCATAAATGGAACATTCCTAAAATATATATTTTGAAATTACTCTCTCAATAAATACTGATTTCCATTCTTAATTCTTGAATTCCCATTCTTAATATATATATATTTCAAAATCTTATCAAATATGAAGTCAAAAAGTGCATTTATTAGGGGGCACACATCAATACTCTTAAGCTAATAAAAAAGAAAAACCAAATTGAAATATTACTAACCACTCATAAAGATGGGATTTAAGTACATTAAAACCTGTTTGATTGCCCAAAGAAATAGAGAGGCATATATTAGAAGTAACTTTATCTGTCAGTGAGACAGGCTTATTGTGCTCTTAATTACACTTTTTTTAATTATGATTCATAAATTTCCTTAGTATTTATGTCCTTGCTTAATCTGAAAACTGTGATCCCCAATATGTGAACTTTTAGACTTCATTTTTGATAAAGATTCGAAAAATTATTTAACTAATTATTTAAAAAAGGGCTATTTCAAGGAAAATTTTAAGATCGAATATTAAATAAAAACATACAGACTATCTCTTATAATTTAGAATTCTCCCTACCGTATCTAGTTGAAAGACAGAAATTATGACTAGTAGGCGCATAGATTCAATACTGGTTGGAATGATAAAATGTATGTTTATAGCCATACTCTCCCTTTATGCACTGCATTTCTGTTTTATATACATTGAAATATCTGTGTTTAGATATGACAAATTTGTCTTTCTGTGTTAAAAAATCATAAAATTCACTGCTTCGGTTGTTTAACTTTACATTCCCTTCTGTTTTGCTGTGCAAAAACTATAAGACTTGAGAACTTGAAATTACGAAAAATTGTACAGGGAGTAAGGTGAAATGAAAAAATATGTTCGAGAATTATTAGCTGTTAAAGTTATTGTAAATAACGGGCCATGAAAACAAATTGCTTAATATTTATTTATTATAATTTGATAATCGCATTTTCACTTCTTTTTGGACTTGTCGCAGGCCAATTAAGCATATTTTTACCTAAAATCTTTTACCCAAATTGAGCCGTTAACTATAAACACAATAGTTATATAAAATGAAACACCTTGCTTAAAATCTTACTTTGTTTCCGTTGGTGAGTAAAATGGTTGAGGTAATGACAAATAAGGTGGAAAAGGTGTCTCCCATTTTCCTTTAAAAAACGCAGCATCTATGAGTAGCGCAGATGAGAAAGCGTCCACACTATTTACAACACTATTAATTTTCCCATATGTTTGTTGATTGACGAAATTATTGATACCTCTAGTAACGTCATTAGCGTACAAAAAATTAACATTTTGAACGGTTGAATCATATAGATTTTGAGCCTCTTCTTGAAACTGAGAATATAATGGTGCTCGATCCGTTACTAAAACTTCATCGGCACAGTAAAGGCTGTAGTTTACTTGGTTTGGATTGTTTTCTGGCAGCATTTGTGAGAAGTAATAGTTGTAGGTTGATGGAACTTTATATAAAGGTAAGCCAGCTGCTTCGTAGCCCAAGACAGAATACAGCTCCTGGAAAATACAAATATTGATTTATTTATTATCTTATTTTTTAACAATATATAGCGGCTCACTGCAAGGATTTCTGCAGTATTGCGGCTAGAGGTGATTCGAAAATCACCACACATTTTTGAACTAATAGGACATATGGTGAGTAAGAAAAAAAGGATTGCAATGACCCATGGATTAACGACATCACGTAGATCAACAACGTGGGTTACTCTCTAAAATCGTAGCTTTGTTTTCATCGGGAATCTCTTTGCTTTCTTCTCTTTTAATGGTCGTGCTGTTTGTCCCCAAGAGTTGTCAATCGCAACGTCGTGGAATGCGATCTGCATTTCGAAAGTAAAATTATCAAAAGTTTTTTTTAAGAACTTTTCAGAAGAAGGTCTAGTTCACACTTTAGCAGACAAATGTACTTACATTAAAAAGAAGGCAATTATTTAAGCTCCAATGGCATTGGCTATATGTTTGTCAATGAATGACATAAATATACCTATCACTTATATTTTGATGCTACCTATTTGCTATTGCTACTATTTCTGGTGTTCATTTCAGACACACTGTGTTGTCTATGTGTATCACGATCATGGTCATTGTTCAGTTTATGAATTCAATGCTAAATCATACCGATTTTTCATGGACATCAGTTTTCAACTTAAATTTTTGAAGTTCAGCGTATATGTCTTAGTGTCTTCTGTATCGTTGGCAAAGTAACCTACAGACTATCCTTTAGTCAGTGTTATCGCTGCTTTCTTTTTAATGTAAGTATATTAGCCTGTTAAAGCGTGAGCTAGACCTTATTTTGAAATAGTTCTCAGACATAATATGTTTATACTTTCTCTATTTTTTATTTATTAATTTTCTTATAATTATATACATACATTAGATTGATAGATGGAAATACGAACACGGCGTTGTCATGGAGATAGTTTTTTGTAAATTGAATGTCAGTGATGCGGTGTTATTTTGCCAATTGCCTTCTTAATATTAATAAAATAAACTTCATTTTATTTTGCAGTTTTACATGATTTTTAGCAATCTAAGTTATTGTTTGAAATGTTGAGTTTTTTGAGGTCAGTTATTTTTTTAATATATAATGGTAATAGACAAGATACACTGTTTGATCACCAGAATTGAACTTTTGCCAATTATTAGAGAAGAAGTGCATCGTAATGATTACATTCATTTTGAAGCTATCTGGTTCACGGAGAACTCTAGGCAGTAGGTTTTTTTTTCTTCACTAAAACACTAAAGTGGTACCATATAAATACTTTAGAATAACTTTAGATTAAAAATTTTTGATTCGGTAAGTAGGCGAGAACTTGTATTGTGCCTTAAAAGACATAAATAAAATTAATTTAATGAGAGTATAATAATATCTTTATTCAGTTGAATTATTATTATTTATTTATAAATTTAAAATTTCAATTTCTTTTAAGCATTTTTGATACGTGCATCATTTTTTGGTAAAAATATACTTGAGGGTGCGCCTTGGCGAAATTGGCCACTTATGTTTGGCGCCATTCCTGTTTGCGCGGAACACCGTGGTAACAGGAATGGCTGCCAGAACATAAAAATATTTCAATAAAGCATTGAAAAATTTCAACAAAGCATCGGCCAAAAACTTTATAAAATTGCAATGAGCCCAATATAAGCAAAATTAATCATCCCAATAAAATGCATTTTGAATCGAAACAAAAATTAATGGAGTAAGCACAGAAAGAAAAAACAACTCCCACGAACAGGACATTTATATCTATTACTAATTAAACCTTCATTCACACACCAATCAATCACTGCTTTTTTTCCATTGTAATTCAAATCGTACAGAAACTTAAGATTTATCTTATTTACTGTAGTCATTTTTAGGACTAGAAGCAAAAGTAACCTAACCAGATGGTATCCAAAGTAGAACTAACGGACCTTATTACATATACCGTTACATATTACATATACCGTTAAATTACATAAACCGTTAAATTACATAAACCGTTGAACATTTAAAAATAAAGCTAAAATCTACACCAATCAGAATCACGATTGGGTTTCAACATCGCACAGCTTGGTGATCAACAGCAATCACAACTTGGCGAGAATCAAGGGGCGCCCTCAAATATAGTCTGCCCGATTCAACAGCTCTGATTATACCTTTATATAATAATCACAAATAGTTTGAGCATTGTAGTGTTGACGAAAAAGTCAAACTTAATTTTCTATGCTATTAATTAGTCTTTAAGATTGAAATAGCTGGATGCGTAATCTTAATTCCAAATGTTACTAAAACATTCCTTTCATGAGAGTATATTAGGCGGTACTTTAAATGTTTAGCCCATTCCCACATCTCGGAGCAATTACTACATCAGTAAAAATTAATCCTCATTGATTTCGCATGAGAGATGCACTATGAAAATCATACAGGTAACAACGATGGTAACATCAGCACGGAACTGACCATTTACTTCAATATGATGTTATGATATAATCTTACTTGCTGTGTGTTTCCCCTGGCTCCATATAACATTATTCCTAAACCTGTCATCAAACTGAGAGGGCAAAAGAATATATTGTCTGTATTTCCATTAATCAATCTTGGATAAAGACTAGCAGCTAAATTATTGCTGGCATCTGCAAACCGCTTCAGGTCATCGTTTGACACTTGGGCAGAGCTAATAATACCGTGAGTGGCGAGAAAAAGGAACAGAATGCTGAGTATCATCCCTGAAATACATATTCAATTTATATTATTAAAAATATGTTCTAATTTTATATAATTTACTTCATATTAGAATAATATAAAGGCTGAGGGAATGAGATAGAATATCATGAAAAATACGATAGCAATAGTAAAGGCCCTTTCAGATTTAAAAATTATAATAAAAAGCTTTAAATTGTTGTTTAAAAATTATAGTGTACATTGAAAATGAAAAACTCATATTTGAACCTATTTAAGAGACTGGACGTTCAGAATGAGAAAATTCCTTAAAAAATCCTATATTTGGTTTTTGAGATATTCAATAATTTCGGCTTTGCTAAATATGTAATAAAACGTTTTTAACTCGGGGTTATGCTTTACCGAGTTATAAGAATATGAATTTGTAAAGATCCATACGTCACTATGCAGTTAGTTATTGTAGGCAAAGTTGCTTTTTGTAGTAATGGAATTTTTCAATGTTCTTTCAACTTCAAAAAGTTTTAATACATTAAACTCAGTAACTCTTATAAATTGAGCACACCATTTGAAAAGGAAACAAAGAATAAGAAAAAATACACAAACTTCCGGTCATTAATTTTATTATATTCAGTTAAGAATTAGAAGATTAAAATATTCTTACCTGTGTAGATATTGATTATTCCCAATTACAATTCCAAAAATGAAATTTGCTCTATCTAAAACAAAATGCATTTCATTTCATTTATATATATAAGACTTTATATGGCCCATTACATTTTTATTTCATCAATACCGGCTTTTTATTATATTTACTTTAGAAAATATGATAGATTAAAATAATAGCGTTCAAACATTCTAACATGTAGCATAATTAGGATTATAAAAGTGACTCCACCTTTAAAAATTTCAGCAATCAGATATTTTAAATAAAGCTGATAAAATTTCATAAACAATTCTTTCAAATTAGTTTTGAAATCTTTCACAAATCATCACGATTGTCCCAGAAAATTACAGACAAATGAAGAGTTCAAAACATAATTTCATAAGTGTTAAAGTAAATGCTTTCAATTTGTAGTATAAATTTTTATCTTAAACATTTTAAGAATGTAATGAAACTGTATAGCTAAAAAATGATATATGATAACACAAAAAGTTCTATGAAAGTAAAAATTAAGTTTTTAATGTGTAAATACTAATGTTGATGTCACCATTTATGAACGTTTGCGAAAAGTTAATGGAGCCCCCCTCTTCAATAGAAATATAGGCTAAACAACTAAATTGCCGTCGAAGACAAACAAGTTTCTTATTTTCGGTATTTATTTTTAGTGCTTTTTTGTAATATTTTGGATGCTACATCTTGTCAATGCTCTTTAGGTTACTCCTGTTGTTGTATTCTTTTCAGTTTCATGTGAGGTGATAATTTATTAATAATTTATTAATAATGTATATATATACACACATAAGATTGTCTTATATATATAAAGTACTGCAAATCAATTTATCGTCTTCTGCCTTCGATAAACATTTAACTAATGGTTAGTATACCTCGTCAAAAGCAGAGAGCGCCTTACTTACAACTAATAGAATTTGAACCAGACCGCATCTTGGGTATGCGAGAAGAAGGATTTTTTTAGCGAAAAATCACAGCTATTAAGCATGAAAACAACCCTTACAATAACTCGAAATGAAGCGTGATTTTGATCTCGCTGATTGAATATCTTGGTAACGCCTTCTGTTTACATCTTTTTGTAGCTCCTCCCCAATATTGTTGCTCCGTAGTTTGTTCACAAAATGTAAGTCATTCATAAATCAGTTCTTCAAATTTTAATGATTGTATTTTCTATCTTAGTTTTAAGTAAAATCTTAAAGTTCCTTTACAGAAAATAAAATAGTGTCATCAATGTTTTTTTTTTTTCAATAATAATAATAATTCTGTCTAATGGCAGGTACTGAACATATGTTCTTCACATCGGACGATGCCGGAAGTGTTACTCATTTAACGTTACCCAGTGGGCACCTGTGAGCACGGAGGCGACGTTACCCAGTGGCACCAAGTCACAGAGGCGAGCAACGTTACCCACGCCACACTGCCCCAGATACCCGTTTATAGGGTGGGCCATATTCACACATCACACACAACAGAGACAACACACAGAGAGAAACATCCATGCCTAGAGAGGGGTTCGAACTCGCAGCCATTCGCTTCGTAGTCAGGCGCGCACCTGGCCGGCTAATAATAATAATAATGATAATGATAATAATAATAACAGCAACATACTTTTTGAAATCTAGATTATTCCTATTTTTTCGTTAATTTGTTTAAATTTTATTCTTACGTTACTGTATAATATTTTTTTAACGTTAATAGTAAGGATTTTTCAGCTAAATACAAGTTTGCAATGATGGTGAACTAGTATTTCAGTATTAAAATTATAGAATTAATAAAAATCACGTATACGTACGTTCTTAATTAAAATTTAAGAGCATTATGCGATTTAACAATTTTTAAGTTCCTAATGCTCTTAAAAATTTAAATCTCGATTTTCAATTTACCTATAATAATACCTTATATAAGATTTATATATATTTATATATTTACCTTATATAAGATTTGTAGAATGTATAGAGTTATCACTGTAATAGTATTTTCGGTAGTTTGAATTTTTTTTTCATATTCTATTACGTTAAAGAGTGTAATTAATACTAATGTCATCAGAATAAAAAAATTTAGAGCGCATATAATTCAGAATTTTTTTTTTATAGTGAAGTTGCATAATGCATCCATACAAGTTGCAATAAGTGCGCAAATATATTAAGTTACAATGAAAGTATTATAAATTAGGAGACATATTTTTCTTGTTGATTTTTTACTTTAACTAATCAGCACATTTCTTCCATCTAAAAATCGAAACTAGATATTTGAATTCAGAGAGAGATCCGCTTTAAAAAATGAAAGGATAGAAAGATGGAGCTTAACTTAACTTCTATGGTTTCATACAAATAGAATTTTTGAAATGAATGAATATTTAACTGGCATGAGGAAACATTTGAGATAAATAATAAATTCTAAGATTAAAATTTAGGCCCAAGTTTTTTTTTGTTTGTTTAATCTTGGAGTAAAAGAGGGAGTCACATATTAAAACTGTGCAAAACGATAAAAGAAAAGTCATTTTCTTTAACACTCAGGTTTTGAATTACATTAAGTATTAAAATTTATTATATCTATACTAATAAAATTTAATAACAATTTCAAAACAATACAAACAAAGATTTAACAATGAAGCAAAGAAATTTTTAAGGAATAATGGTTTTAAATGGAAACAAAGATTTAACAATTTTCGAAGCACATCATGCACTTAAAATTTCTAAATTATACTTGCCATTTGTGCTAGCTGAAAACTTTCTTGATGAAAACAACTCACTTTAGATCCATTATGAGAGACTTTAAAATATAAATTACACGTGCATAAAATTAACATAATAAAAGGATTTTTGATTGACATTAAAAAACAATTTATCATTTCAAGACAAATATTTTACAGTGTAATATTATTAACCAAAAATATAATACAAATCATATAAATTTTATAATATTAAAAAATGACACCTAGCACGAGGAAGCATTTAAAGTATGTTATAAATAAGTAAATTAAGCTTAATGCAGATTTAATTTTATTGGTTTTGTTTTTTATGGTGGAGGTGACGAGTGTAAAATATGGTTTTTAATAATCATTTAATTCAAATAATCCCAGAGAAAGAAAAAAAAATAGTTATTTAATTCGATACGTATCAGTTTTAAACTATTCTCTTTTTTTTGTTCTTTCGTAAATAAAAAAAATTATCCCGGTAGTAAGCTGTGATTTAATGTCATTCGAAAAATTAGAATGATATTAATGTTACAAGAACTAATGCATATGATAATTATAAATTTAACGGATGAAACATTTCCGAAAAACTGGCTTTCCAATTAAACTTTCCAATTAACAATCTTACTAATGCTTTATCCCGTTTGCCAGCCACAATAAAAGGCTTTAATAAAGCAATTAAGCGGTTTCATTAAATTTCAAAAATTTTTAATGGTGTTAAAAATATTTCAATTATGTTATATAAAAATAAGCTTCATATACTACATATTATGCACAATATATTTTCATTATTTTAATGTAGCACGCTAAGTATATTAAAATATCCTTATTACTTGAAAAACATTGATATCGAAAATTCCAGAAATTAAGTGTATTTAACTAGAGGAGGATAATCTTTCAAATATAGAAAATTCTTACATTACATTTGATGAAATTGATTATTCACTGTTCAAGGAAAACTGTATTTTTATGAGAAGCAAGAGTCAATAAAACACCTCCTTTAATGAGACGTTTTATATAATTCTTAACAATTTTGTTTTATCATCTAATCATGTTTATTTTAGACAACATGATGTACTAAATTTATCACATTTAAATATTCTGAAGCATATCGTAATTCAGATCTTAACAGTGACTTGACATTAAAATTCGAAATAAACTGTTCGAATAAAGCTGACAGATAATGTGATTTCAGTTACACAACTCTTTAGCTCTAAAGTTAGATTAAAAATGTAACAGATGCGCCATTTTTCCTCCACGCTGAATATTAATGGCATTTTACATTTGGAAATATGATTTGTAAAGATTACGAAGCTTAATTTCCATTTTTTGGGGAGAAGCATTTGCTGTAACTTTCTCAAATGTTTTTCTCAGTAACATTTAGGACCACAAAATGAATAATAGCATTAAGTATATTTATTTATTCTTCATGTTTTGAAACAATTGAATAAATTATTTAAAAGAAAATACCCTCATGGCCAAAAATGTAAGGCGGTAACAAGTCCGACTAGCGAAGCGATAGACGAATTTCGCCTCCATGAACTGTTAGAATTTTTATTCTTAATTCACCCGTTGCAGTCTGACAATCCAATTTACCGTAAACTTTATAGTTAGGTACATTTATTTCTTTTTCTTTGATAGATATAAAACTATTTACAACTGATATGGATAAAAGAAACCTTGAACATAAATTTATACGATTTTGCAACCATTTTCGGCTAGCACAGTTCCAAAACCGAGTTCGAAAATTGAACTTAATATTGGAGCTAGGCTATGTTAGGTTTCCCATTAGGTAATGGACATTGGAGTTAGGTTGGAGTTAAGCTGTGATTTATCAAGTGATTAGGAGAATGCAGCTTAATTAGTATATCTAGTTGGACCATATAAAGTGAGAGATAAAAAATATTAGACTTTTATGTGTTGAGCAACTTTGTGGAGCTGCCACGCATGTGCAAATTCGAGTTTCGTATTCAGATTGTTCAGGGTCAGAAATTGAGGAGTTAAATACATTGAAAACTTTTTATGCTTTAAAATAATTAAAGAAATTGTAATGTCAACGTTCCGTTCAGTCTGCCATGAAATTGACAAATCGGCACTATCTGCTAAAGTATGTACCCAACTGCAAGGAACTAGGCGGCTTCATAAGGGGTTCACCGCACACTTATTACTATTAGATAGTTAGACATCTGATGATGAAAAACAGAAATCGAAATTCCCAAAACTTATAACGCGACTTAGCTTCCAGCTTTCTAGGAACCTGCACTATAATCTTATTGGCTGTGGGTTTAGTTGGCGCTGAAAAATTCTGCCTATTTAACCGTACAAGATGATAACAGTCAAATGATTTTACTTGCAGCTAACAGTTCTAATACTATTTCTTCTGATTATTTAACTGCGTAGATTGAATATGATTAAATAGCAATTAAATAAATTGTTATTTAACATCTACGGAAAATTTCCGACTGTCGACATATCGGATAAAGGAACCAAATGTCATTTCAGGCACAAACTATATTTTCAGCTTTCAATTTTTAATATATCAAACTGCTCATTTGTAAGCCATTTCGAATTATATAGCGAGCATTTAAAAATTTACGTATATTATCAATACCTCGTCTTTCAGTTTCTCAGGTAGAACCACAAACTTGTTTTCTGAATACATATATTCAAGATTAGGGAAAAAATATATAATTTTTAAGTGTATTGGACTGTTGGAAAAAGGGAGCCCAGTATGGATCCAGCTAATGTGGACATCTCGAGTAACCTTTTTTAGTCATGTAAGGCTTAAGGTCAATAAGGCTTAAAGTGAAATTAATTTTAATTTGGTTTTAGATTTGCCTTTCTGAGCTATATTGGATGACTACTTAACAAGTTATCAAATTTGTCCACACTAGCTCCATATCTTGCCCCGTAAAGTGGAGGTTACTGTGCATTTTCTTTTAAGAAAAAGATTATGGATAGAAAAACTAAACGATTAAGTTCAGATATAAACCAGAAAGCAATAAAAGAACCAAATTATTTTAAAAAAATACTTTACGATACAAAAATTATATTTTATAAGGTTTCTGACCAATTTGTAAAAAATGTCTGAACTAGCCCCCTCTCCACTTTTATTTTCTAATAACTAAAAACTACGCACCATATTAACTGCTCTAAAAATCAACAAATTTAAACAATCGTTAGTGTAACCTTAGAGGAATCATCTAGAGCAGGGGTGTCAAACTCAAAAGCTAACTTGGGCCAAATAAACAATGCTTAACAAAAAATTAAAAAAAAAAATCAGTGTTCATAGAAACAAATATTTTTATTTCGAATAGTATATTGTAATAAACATATATAAAGTAAAATTATTGTTTGATATTTGACATCTCTTCTCTGCTACTATCTTTTCTATTTCGGGAGAAATTTTATTTGCCGAGACTACTTTCAAAGTTGACCCAACGTGAGCGTTATTAATACGGTTTCGGACGGGAGATTTATTTCCATTCATAACAGAAAATAATTGCTCGCACTAATAAGTACTTCCAAAAATGGAAATAATTTCATATGCGAATTTTCGACTTTTTTCAAACCTAGCAGGTTAATATTTGTAAAATTCAGGCACACTCACTTCAATGAATTTTGTCTTCAAATTTGAGTCGCACTGAATCTCAATCACTTCCATTTGCATATTACTGGGTACTGAGTCTATATTTATTGAGAAAATCGAAGAAAACAAACAAAATTTGTCTTCCAAAGAATTAAAATCTTTAAACCTTGTTTCAAATTCTGTTCTAAGATTTGAAATTTTTTCTGCGTATTTTTGATACGATGCAGTATCCCTGGAATGGCAGGTGCCGCAAGCCAATTAGAATTTTACATTTTCGCGCGTACAATTTAAAATGATCCGTATAGTTTATAAATAAAGTATATTATAATTTTATATGCTAGTTTCCTTTCTAATTAACATTTCTATTTTATTTTTACTTTGCGTCAGATATATTGACTGGGACGCAAAAATGCTCATCTCGGGCCGCGAGTTTGACACTCCTGATCTAGAGTCTATGTATCTCATTTGAGTCAATTGCATTACTAATTATTAAGCTTGACGTTTAACTACGTTAGATATAGAAACCGCAGAAACATGTCATGGCACTAGTATAAGTCTGTTTGAGTGACCTATGTGACCTAGACGTATGCTTTAAAGTTTGTTTCAATAAAGATTGATTTACACATATTTCCACAGCACATATATGATCTTTAAACATGATTGTCATAAATATCATACGCATGTAGATTTTGACGGTCAAAATTTAATACTTATTTATGAAACCAGGAGACTCCATCCATGATCTCCAACCTTTGAAATTGCTTCTCATTTATCATTGTTTTTAGCTTTCTTTTAAGCGTCGATATTTTCCATGAAAACACAAAATATTTTGTTTTCAAATTAAACAATTATTGTAAAAGAAACTCGCATATATATGCAAGTAAATAAATTCCACTAGTCCATAAAGGATGGAAAAACAGACACCTTAACTGATCTATTCGAATTTAGTATCTTAGAAACATATTTCCTTGAAAGCATTTAGGACCGTTTTCCCACTGTTATTTCGAAAGCTCAAAAAACTCATATATAGTAATATTTTTACGTAAATAAAATAATTTTTGTGAAGATTTGGAAATATTAAGATAATAAAGATAATGTTTAGAAATAAAAATTTCAAAAGAAGTGAAATTAAATCAATTTTTTTCTCGCTAAAAAAAATTAGGAAATTTTGGAATTTAAAATTCATGTGGCGTGCATAGAAAATTTTTCTTACTTGCGAGCTAAAATTTTATAAAATTAAATTTTTTTTCATTGTTATTAAAAGGTAAGGTACTTGACACCATTTCGTTTCAGATTGATACCAGTGTATATTATTGGGATTAAAGCAAAAAGTTTTTTCTTAATGTAATTCTGTATATGAACTGAACATATTGAATACATATCTTGAATTATATGTAACTGCATTTAAAACTATATACCAAATACATGCTAACACCCATATATTTGGCATATAGTTTTCTATCGTTGTAAGGAAAACTATATGCCAAATAAAAGTTTTTTATTTGGAAAAAAATTTTTCGGTACTCGCGAAAATTGTTTATGGAATTTCGCACAAACTTAATATTTTTTTTCCTCAGGTAAAAAATCGAAATATTCCCCAACGAAACAGCATCAAGCAGTTCCTCACCATTTTATTTTATTTTTCTGTCCATTGAGAATGTCTATTGAATTGAAATTGTTTCGAACGTGATAAATAGAATACTAATTTAATTGGTTTTAGTTTTGATTAAGAGGAGACTAACTGAACACCAGATACTAAAACACCACTTCTGGATAAACTGTTTATTTATTTCATGTTGATTACAATTGATAGTATGCCTCTTTTAAACCATATAACAAGACCGTTTATACGTTATAAACACGACCCAAAGCCAGCTTCAAATTGTATCTTGTGTCTATTACACCAAACATGAAAGGACGGTTTGCCAGAAAACTTGCCTCAACCTCTTCATTAGACGAAGGCGACGCACCAAGTCCCTGATGCGACTCATCAACTTCTATGGCACCCTTGTAGAGAGTGCCAGTGACATGTATGTCTCCGCTGTCCGTCATGTCTGAAAAATCTGCTGATTCATCATACGCGCTTTCAGCTCCCAAAGCTTTGATGTCTTCTGAAAAATCTCTGTAGTACTGGATTTTGAATCTCGGAAGAGAAACTGATATCTCTTGTTCCTGCAGCTGGTTCAAGACATTTGTCAATTTTTCAGGCGTGAAGTTTTGCTCCACATTCGACAGCGTATTATTTTCTAGTGGTAGTAAGATTAGTAAACCTAGAAACTTTCCTTTATACGGCAGTAACAAAGCTTGAAATTCATCGGTTTCGTAGTAAGGGAAACTGTGGGTAAGAACCATAAATGGAACATCCCTGAAAGAATTTTTTTTTTAGATTAGATTGGTATACACTAGACAAATAATAAAACATAACTCCTTCTTTTAATTGGCAAAAGAAAAAAATATTTGCTTTTAAATTAATTTTATTCAAGATTTCTTTATTTATCACTATACAGTAGTATAAATAATTAAGCCGTCAATAGATAAACACAGATGGAGCTAGTAGTTTTGAAATTACTTAAAACATATTTAGAGATTAGATTGGTAAGCATCAGGCAAATAATAAAACGTAGCTCCTTCTTTTAATTGGCAGAAGAAAAAAATATTTGATTTTAAATTTGATTCAAGATCTCTTTATTTACCACTATAGAGTAGGGGAGAGTGGGGTCAATTGTAACAGGGTACGATTGTAACAGCGCAAAAATTTCGAGTGTCGGGTTCTAGATTTGGTTCTTAGGCGGTACACAAGGTGTATTTAATAAATCTACATGTACACCCCTGCTGGCAACCATTTTTATGCACTTTTGAAAGAGTTACATCGCAAAAGATATTTTAACACTACGTAAGTACTTTTTTTGGTATTAGAATATTATATTGTAACAAAGTAATTTTGTTTAAACAAATAAAAATTATTAACCGAATATGTAAGTGGACACCTTAATTAACATTTCAAAAAAAAAAAGATTAGTTTTGCTAATTAACTAGCATTGTTTTTAACAAATGAAGCTGAAATGGCGTCTTGGGGACAATTGTAACAATAAGTAAAGGGACGATTGTAACAGCTGAAAATAAATAATCTTATGTTTACAAACCATTACTTAACTCTTTAAGAACCACCAATAGTTTCCTATATCATTTATATTATGTTGCATGTGCATTATTTTATTTGTCACCTTTCACAGCATAAATTAAAATTTTTAACCCCTTAAAGTTAAAAGTTTAACCCTTTAGGTCTCTGCTCATTATTATTTTTACTCCTAAAATATCACTACTATTTTGATCAATAAAAAAATATATCACAACTATGATAATATGTATAATTAACTATGTTTCAGTTGAATTTATGAACTGTTACAATTGACCCCGTAAGTGGGGACAATTGTAACAAGTGCACGACTGTCAAAAATTATTAATAACTAATATAATAACATTTAAAATAAGGTATTCATTTTTTTCTAGTAGAGAATAGTCTACTTTACTCGTCTATCAATTAATAGATACTAATAATATATTGTATTTTTTGTTAGTTAAAAATAGTAAAGTAAAAAAGTTTCTAATTGACCCCACTCTCCCCTAGTATGAATAATTAAGCCTTCAACACATAGCACATATGGCGAAGTTGTATTAAAAGTTGTATTAGTTGTATTGTAAATTCGTAATAAAACTTCCGGATAGCAACTTTTTATTTATTTTTACATATATAGGCATAAAACGCAAGCCGTCCTATAATGTTATAGACTTTAACTGTTTTAAATAAGACCTGTGATATTTAACATTCAATTTGCACGTTTTTTTAATTTAAGCTGAAAAAAAAAAATAATAATAAAGTTAATGGTGTACCATTAATATGTCAACCCATTAACAGTATTTTTTATCCTGATATTAATTTTTTTACGTTGATTTATAGTTCACAACCTTTTAGAAATCATAAAATATAGAAAATCTTGTGAATCGTAAATTTGCGTGCAAAATTAAATACAATCTCAATAATAAAACTTCTTTCAATACTTCCTACAAGTCTTTTCACGCAACGTCTCATTAGCATAACATAAGCGGAGAGATACATAACATAAGCATAACATAACTCATTAGCATAACATAAGCGGAGTTTTGAAGATTCCGTTCCGGTTTTAGTTGGTTGTTGGTAATTTACGTCGCACTAGAGCTGCACAATGGGCTATGGCGACGGTCTGGGAAATATCCCGGAGGATGATCCGAAGACATGCCATCACAATTTTGATCCTCTGCGGAGGGGATGGCACCTCCGCTTCGGTAGCCCGACGACCTGCGCGCGAAGTCGAGCACTTTACGGTAGCACAGTTTAACGAGGACCAATACCGCACACCCTCGGTCCCTACGCAGACTGATCCAAGTGGTCACCCACCCGCACACTGACCGCAGTCAGTGATGCTTGACTTCGGTGATCTGCTGGGAACCGTGTCTTAACGATCAGTCCACTGCGGGACCCGTTCCGGTTTTAATGCCTGTTTAGACAATCCAATTTCTTGGACAGAGATTGATTAATATTGAGAGAAACTTGTTTTGCTTTCAGCTTGGATCGTGTAAACAATCATCCTAGAACTTAGTCCAACTTCTTGGACGATAGTAGAGCATGTTTTTCCATCCAAGTTTTTTCTCCTTTAACCAATCAGCGTCTTATGTTTTGTGACGCCAACAAGCAGGCAGCAAATTATGTCATTTTGTTGTCTGTTTTCATATATTTTAGTCCAAATAAATTGATCTGTTGCGATTCATTTATGTTATTATGATTTTATTTGAATTTATTTAGTAATTTTAAACTTATGTAAGTATTATTTTATAATGTTGAATATGAACAATGCGCATGCGCAAGTTTNTGTAACAAGTGCACGACTGTCAAAAATTGTTAATAACTGATATAATAACATTTAAAATAAGGTATTTATTTTTTTTTCTAGTAGAAGATAGTCTACTTTACTCGTCTGTCAATTAATATTAATAATATATTGGATTTTTTGTTAGTTAAAAATAGTTAAGTAAAAAATTTTATAATTGACCCCACTCTCCCCTAGTATGAATAATGAAGCCGTCAACACATAGCACATATGGCGAAGTTGTAATAAAAGTTGTATTAGTTGCATTGTAAATTCGTAATAAAACTTACGGATTGCAACTTCTTATTTATTTTTACATATATAGGCATAAAAAGCAAGCTGTCCTATTATGTTATAGACTTGAATTGTTTTAAATAAGACCCGTCATATTTAACATTCAATTTGCACGTTTTTTGAATTTAAGCTGAAAAAAAAATGAAATAATAAAGTTAATGGTGTACCATTAATATGTCAACCCATTAACAGTATTTTTATCCTGATATTAATGTTCTTACGTTGATTTATAGTTCACAACCTTTTAGAAATCATAAAATATAGAAAATCTTGTGAATCGTAAATTTGCATGCAAAATTAAATACAATCTCAATAATAAAACTTCTTTCAATACTTCCTACAAGTCTTTTCATGCAACGTCTCATTAGCATTATATAAGCGGAGAGATACGCTGGAAGTTTGAAGATTCCGTTCCGGTTTTAGAATCTTGTCATTGATTACATTTAGTTAAGCATCCTTTACACGAAAAATAGATAGAAACAAAATTTTTATCAAGAATGGGCGCGAAACCAGTGGAGCGCGTTTTGAATTGCTGGAACTGTTGCCGTACGTAAATAGGTAAAAATAGTTGGTTTTATCCCTAAACAGAAGATATCGATCCCCTTTTTTTCCCTATATTCCATCCCTTTTCTATAACAAAAAAACCAATTAAAACGGAATGTTTTAAGCTAACACGTTAACTTATGATGGAAATATTATGCAGTACAGTTTAAATACAGTTTTTATTGTAACTGTTTCAGTCAAAGGAAATTTATTAAGGGATATTTATCCTATTTTATAACCTTCGTTGAACAGCCGACCCAATTTTGAGTTTACGACTTCAAATGTTCAACTCCGTAGCCTTGTAATTTTGAGCTCAATCTAGAAAGCAAAGAAACTCCTAGAGAGCAATTTGCCTTCGTGGAGTACTTTTTCATGGAAATAACCGAATTCGCGTTATACGTAGAGGGAAACCTTGAAAATCTCCCCCGTTTAGCTTGACGGTAAGGGGACTCTAAGCCATGATCCGTCTAACGCGGAGGATATTTTTTCATCAGCACTATGGTCGGTGTGAGACCAGGTGCTGAATTCGTATTGACCAGTCATCAATGGGTCACCTTATTGGGAGGTGAATGCTCTTTCCCATGAACCATCCCGGCTCTATATATGTTGAAAATTTGATTAGTGCAAGTCATGTTCAACGAATGTAGTAGAAATGGTGCTTATGATTCCAAAAAATTTGAATCGCATTATTATGCAATTATTGTAGATGTTTAACAACAACAATTTTACCAATTAATGAACTACGATGATTTAAGGAAGCTACTAACTGTTTTAGTAAAAAGTCTACAGTTCAGCAAAAGTTTACAGATTAGAAGGGGAAGAAATTCGCCGTCTGCTCCACTGGTCCCCATATTACAGAACTCATCTATTGAATCGAAATTGATTAATCTTACTTTTCTCCATTTGGGGAATGAAATGTTTGAGGAGTAGACCAATAAAGTGGAAAAGGTGTCTCCCACTTTCCTTTAAAGAACACGGCATCTACAAGCAGCGCAGATGATGAGGAATTCACGTGATCTACAATGCGATCAATTTTTCCATATGTGCGTCTCCTGACGAAATTATTGATGCGACTGTTCTTATGGCGATCACTTTTATCAAAATGAACATTTCGAATGGTCGCGTCATATGCATTTTGAGCATTGGTCTGAAACTCTGGGTCCAATGGTGCTTCATTCTTTACTAAAACTGCATCCGCACACAATAACGTGTAGTATGGAAAGTGGGGATTGTTCTGCGGCAGCAGGTATGTCAAGTAATAGTGGTAGGTTGATGTAATTCTTTCTATGGGTAAGCCTGCTGCTTCATATCCTAAGGCAGAATACAGCTCCTAAAGGAAAATGAAGCTTATACATTAATTCACATTTTACTCTACTTTCAAACTTATACAAAATTATGGGAATAAAAAGGCGTTCAATAGTTAATTTTACAACAGGCGTGCTTGCTTTGATTTAACTTCATTTTATTTTTTAAAAAAAAGCAGTGATGCCATATGAAATAAAACTTTTCGAAATATATAATACTTATATTATATCGAAATATATAATACTTATATACACTGAAGAGCCAAAAAAACTGGTATACCTGCCTAACATCGTGTAGGGGCCCCGAGAGCACGCAGAAATGCCGTAACACGACGTGGCATAGATTCGATCAATGTGTGAAGTTGTGCTGGAGATAATTGACACCACGAATCCTGCGGGGCTGTCCATAAACCAGTGGGAGTAAGAGGGGGTGGGGATATCTTCTGAACATCACGTTGCAAGGCATCCCAAATATGTATGCGATGTCGTAGATTTGATGTTTTACCGGATTTCCGATACTCACGGTATACTCGTGAAATGGTCGTACGTGAAAATCCAAATTTCATTACTATCTCGGAGATGCTATGTCCCATCTCCCGTGCGCCGACTATAACACCACGTTCAAACTCACTTAAATCTGTATAACCTGGCATTGTAGCAGCAGTAACCGATCTGTGCTAGACACTCGTTGTCTTATATACGCGTTGCCAATCGCAGGGTTGTACTTTGATTGGCTCCATACTCATGCCTGTACCAGTTTTTTTTGCTCTTCAGTGTATATATAATACTTAAGTACTAATTTATAATTTAGGCAGAGAATAAAGAAAACTATGAAACGCCAAAGTAAAGCACTAAAAGTCTTAATGCAGAGCTGTCTATTCGGAAACTTCAGCTCTCTACAATATTTAAAGTGATATTGAAATAACATTAGGAATAATTAAATAATTATGGATACTAAAATTCTGTAATAAATGAATAATAGGCGAATTATTCACCGAGATATATCCATGGTAAAAATTTTAGTTTCTGATAATTTATAACTAAAGAACTAATTCGGAAAAGGCACAGTAACTCTATTAGGCACACTGATACTATTTCCTAACTTTAAAAAAAACTGCCTGCAATGAAAATAATTGAACCTGATTGGCTAGTGACAGTTTAAATATGTTCATTGCTAAACTAGCTACATTGACATGAATATTTTTCTGAAACTTTGATTTTTTTCATGTCTAAATGTGTAGATATGAAAAGTATTCAGAATAGACATTGGAAATGTTTAAAATAAATATTCAGAAAAACTAATTTTCTTTACATAAATATTCACTTAGTGCGTTTAGACCAAGACATTATTACTAAGACATTAACTCCAAAGAGCAAATTGTGACATTATATATTTTTTTTCTCGGAACATGAGCACTATAAAATGATTATAAAGTTAGAAGTTCAATCTCTGTAATAAAACTTTCATTTTAGGTGATTCAGCAGTCTTTGAGGTGTACCTTGTTATTTTTGACAATCATTCCGACATAAAATCACGTGATTTTTGAAAACGCGTACTCTTGAATATATAGTGAAATCGCTTTCTCAATCGTGTCTTCTCGGTTTCTTGTAGAAGTTTTCCAGGATATTTTTTTCTGATTTTTAAACTATTTGCACTATATGAGGATTAATACAGGAGCTACAGAGCTCGCATGATAACCAGGTGTTCTGGGTAACAAGTACTCATTCGCACCAACTCCTTTTCTATTTTATTTCCTAACTAATTATATAAATCGTAATAAAGCTTATGGTTTTTATGAGAGTTTCATCCACAAACAATTTAAATACCAACTTCCGCATTTTGACAGAACGTACTCGGAGAATTTTTTGAGTAATAGTTTCGTCAAAAGCAAATAAATTTGATGAATTTTGAGTACAATACAATCATTGAATTAGATGTTTGAAAAATTGAGACTCTTTGCGTTAAATCTTCAAGCGGATTCAACTTACTGATGTGAATATATTTCATATTCCAGTGGATTTGAATCAATTGAAAAACAATTTCATTTCTTACTTCGATCGTATATAAATAATTATACATCCATGAAACTCCTTTTAAGTTATAACTTATCTATAATGTCTTTATGTGAAAAATAAATCAAGAATTTTCTCACAACATATCAATAACAATTTAGAGCGAAATTAATCAAACAGTACACATGATTTAACCTTACTTCCTGCGTATTTCTCCTGGCTATGTTTATTCATTTAGAGCGTAGTTTTGTGTCATATTTCGTAACTTTAAATATCATTTGCACTAGTTAATTGGCAAATTTGTGATCACCCCATCGAACTGTTAAGATTAAGTCCTAGCATGTGAAATTCCGGTCATTAGATCAAAAGTTATTCGAGGAGTATCGTTTTTTTCCGCTCTCTACTATAAAACCCCATATAAATAACAACAGGGTAAAAATATACTAGAGGGTGCCCCTTGGCGAAATTGGCGACTTATGTTTGGCGCCATTCCTGTTTGCACAGAACACCGTGGTAACAAGAATAGCGGCCAAAACATAATGATGTTTCAATAAAACATTGGGAAATTTCGACAAAACATCGGCCAAAACTACAATGAAAATTGCAATGAACCCAAATTATGAAAATTGCATGAACCCAATATCATGAAAATTGCATGAACCCAATAAAATGCATTTTGAATCGTAACAAAAATAAATGGAGTAAGTACAGAAAGAAAAGGAAAAAATCAACTCACTTCTTCATTAAGCTGGAATATCCTCAGATTTAGGTGCACAGAATTCTCTAATAGCAGTTAGATATTGTCTAAATTTATCATGAATAGAATCTGTGTACCTGCTTCGCCACATAAATTCGGCAAAATACTAATCAAAAATGGCGTCTGTAGTACCGGAGTGGGGTTGACATTTTTTTCTAAAGTCCCTTTTTATGACTGCTCACATACCTTCGATCTTATTTACCAGAAGCTAAAGTAAAGTAACCTTACCAGCCGGTATCCAACGTGGAACTAAGGGACCTCTGAAATTACATATACCGTTGAACATTTAAAAATAACGCTAAAATCTAAACCAATCAGAATCACGATTGGGTTTCAACATCACCCAGCTTGGTGATCAACCGCGATCACAACTTGGCGAAAATCAAGGGCACCTTCAAATATAGTTTACCCATAATTATTAAATTTGACACAGAACTGGTTAAATAGTTCAATATGATATATAACGGAATCATACTTGTTGCGTGTTGTTTCTCGCTCCATACAGCATTATTCCTAAGCCTGTCATCAAACTGAGAGGTACATAAAACAGATTGTCCGAATTTCCTTGAGTCAACTTTGGATAGAGACTGAGCGCTAAATTGTTGTTGGCATCAGCAAACCTCTGCAGGTCATCATCTGTCACGTCATCATCTGACACTTGAGCTGAACTGATTAGTATGTTGATGGTGACGAAAAGAAATAGTGAACTGAGCAGCATTTCTGAAAGATGATGAAATTATTATATCAGAAGTTTCAAATATTTAAAATATGACCCATATTGTATTTATACGAGGGCTTTTTGGAGAGTAAGTATTTCGAGGTTCATAAAGAAACCATACAAGACGCGAAAAAATGCAGCAAAGGTGCAGCTACTTCTTAATTTCAAAATCGGTGGAATTGTTGCATGTACCAGAATTAGAATAAGTTTTTGTTGTCAGCTATCATCTTAGTTGGCCTCCTTGGAATAGAGCTAACGTGTTACAGCTGCCTGCACGTTACTGCACAACACTAGAGAACTTGTCACAAGAGTTTCAAAACAGCACACTGTAAAAAATGGCATTCAAATATCACGAAACTTTTTTTGTTTCTGACGAAACGGTTTTCTGTTATATGCTCCGAGCAAAAATTTTGACAAACTGACGAAATAACTATCACCACTTCTTCGAGGAGACGAATTTCATCAGAATTAAAGAAATATTTCGTCCTTCAATTTTTATCCAAAAGAAAAAATATATTAATAAAATACCATGAGGCACTTGTAGCGCCTCATAATATCTAAGGGATCTTAAGAAATCAAACTCCTTCAACAAAAAGAGGCATGTTTATTCAGAGAAAATACGTTTTTGTGTCTGATTTCGTAATTTAAAATATTGTCTGCACTAATTAATTAGCTTATTTGAAGTTACCCCCTCGAACCATTTTAATTGAGCTTCAGTACCTGGAAATCTAATGATTAAATCAAAGGTTATTAAAGGTGTTTCTTTCATTTTTTTGCACACTGTGCTCCATACTTATGTTTATTTTCTAGGTACTACTCGTAAATATGCATTCGCTTCACAGAAATATGTACCTTTGTGGTGCAATGTTAGAACAAGTAGATTTTGACAGTTTTAAGCCTCAAAAAATAGCCTCATTTCGAAGATTTTTGAATGACCTTAGACCATTGACGCAAAGATCCACTGTAAGTAGTTTTGTCTTAATAGTTTGTGCGGAAGTAACAGGACATAAAATGAGGATCAGTTCCGTGTTTCACTTATTTCATAGAAATCATTACCACATGTAAATGGATGTGTTTTTCGACTAAGCTCTGAGAATCTTCAGCTTTAACTTCCAAAAATCCTGGAGGAAAAAAAATTTAGCAAAAAAAAAAATAATAATAAAAAATAAATAAAATATAAAAAATACTTGTGTAATAGTTTTACATTAAGAATATACTCTGAAAATTTTCTNCAATATGATATATAACGGAATCATACTTGCTGTGTGTTGTTTCTCGCTCCATACAGCATTATTCCTAAGCCTGTCATCAAACTGAGAGGTACATAAAACAGATTGTCCGAATTTCCTTGAGTCAACTTTGGATAGAGACTGAGCGCTAAATTGTTGTTGGCATCAGCAAACCTCTGCAGGTCATCATCTGTCACGTCATCATCTGACACTTGAGCTGAACTGATTAGTATGTTGATGGTGACGAAAAGAAATAGTGAACTGAGCAGCATTTCTGAAACATGATGAAATTATCATATCAAAAGTTTCAAATATTTAAAATATAACCCATATTGTACTTATGCGAGGACTGTGTTTCGAGGTCCATAAAAAGAAAGAAACCATACAAGACACGAAAAAATGCAGCAATGGTGCAGCTACTTTTTGATTTTAGAATCGGCGGAATGGCTGCATTAACCAGAATTTGAATAAGTTTTGGTAGTCAGCTTTCATCGTAGTCAACCTACTTGGAACAGAGCTAACATGTTACAGCTACCTGCACGTTACTGCGCAACACTACAGAACTTGTCACGAGAGTTTCAAAACAGCACACTGTAAAAAATGGATACTCAAATATCACGAAACTTTCTTTGTTTTTGACGAAACGGTTTCCTGTTATATGCTCCGAGCATAAATTTTGACAAAATAACGAAATAATTATGGCCATTTCTTCAAGGAGACGAATTTCGCCAAAATTAAAGAAATATTTCGTCCTTCAATTTTTATCCAAAAGAAAAATAAATAAATAAAATACCAAGAGCAATGGGTACAATGCACCTCACAATATCTAACGGATCTTAAGAAACCAAAATCAATCAACAAAAAAAGGCATGTTTATTCAGAGAAAATACGTTTTTGTGTCTGCTTTCGTAATTTAAAATATTGTCTGCACTAATTAATTAGCTTATTTGAAGTTACCCCCTCGAAACATTTTAATTGAGCTCCAGTACCTGGAAATCTAATGATTAAATCAAAAGTTATTAAAGGTGCTTCTTTCATTTTTTTTTACACTGTGCTCCATACTTACGTTGATTTTCTAGGTACTAATCATAAATATGCATTCACTTCACGTAAATATTTACCTTTATGGTGCAATGTTAGCACAAGTAGATTTTGACAGTTTTAAGTCCAAAAAAATAGCCTCATTTAGAAAATTTTCGAATGACCTTAGACCATTGACGTAAAGGTTCACTGTAAGTATTTTTATCTTAATAGTTTGTGCGGAAGTAACAGGACATAAAATGAGGATCAGTTCCGTGGTTCATTTATTTCACATAAATTATTACCGCATATAAATAAAGGTGTTTTTCGACTAAGTTCAGAGAATCTTCAGCTTTAACTTCCAAAATGCCTGAGGGGAAAAAATTTCGCAAAAAAATAATAAATAAATTTTGAAAAAGACTTGTGTGATAGTGAATCTCAAAATCCAAATCAAAAATATCAAATGACCGATTTAGTAAAAAGAAATTTGACCCTAAAAGGGAAAAGAGTTGTCCTTAAAAATCCAAAAAAGTTCTCACCTTCACAGCTGCTGATTATTCTTTGCTTCTAGTGTAGGAGAATTGTATTTAAGAGAAGGATGAATGAATTGAAGCTTCTTTTTATGTATCGGATTACATTTAACTCTTTACAGTGTCATTTTAAAAGTACCACCTTATTATAGACTGAATTTAAAGTATTGAGCTATTTAGAAACGATGACATGTAAAAAGCGTATCGTAATGAGGATCTGAACCCAGTGACTCAACTCGAAAATTTAAGATCAAATAACTTGTAGGAAACTGATATGCAATAAGATTTTAACTATGCAACTCATGCCTTCTAAATTTAGCTTCGAGTCATAGATTTCGTTTCATTGTTTCTTTATTTTTTTTTTTCTATGAAAGACTTAGTACACTTGCTAATTTTTCATGTTTGGAATGATAAAATAAAATGTGTTGCGTGAAAAAAATTGCTGTATATTACGTAAAACAAAATCAGAAATCACAAAAAAGTAGTTCTAATATAAATGATAGAATTTTTCTTAGAGAGTTTAAGAATTATGTAATAAATAAAAACAAAAAGTATATTTATTCCACGAGTTTGAAACTCTGTAATGGAGTCCAAATCCTTACTTGAAGCCTGTTCCCTTCTGTTTCCTTTAACATTATTCCACAGCCTGCTTTCAGACTGTAACATCCAAAAAGCACATTGTCCGTTTTTTCACTACACCTAGGATATAAACTCTCTACTAAATTATTGTTGGCATTTGTAAAATTCTTGTGATCATCGCTTGATCCCTGAGAAGAGCTGTTACAACTTGGGTGATGATAAAAGGAAACATAAGAACATCTACACAACTACAGAACATCATCACTAAAATGCTTTAATTTATTTGTTATCATTAATTATAGAAATTTAAATTGCAACAACGTATTTGTTACAGCAACAATAACATTATTGGAATAGAATTAGGCCATTTTAAACATATAAACCGTGACATGTAAACATAGAATGGGGCAATTAAAATGCCACGGAGTCAAAAAATTGTGAGAAAGGTGAAAATTTCTAATTGATGGGAAGCGTATATTAATTCAACCTGTAAAGTTTCATTATCTTCTAATCATTCAGTATTGTACATAAATAACAATTTACTCACAACTCTCAAAACTTTTGTATAATTCATTTTTTTTAAATTTAGTTTCAACTAATCAATATTCATGCTTAATCGCTTTTGTACAGTTCCATATTTTTACCTCCTGGAGGATTGCTAAGGTGACGAAATGTTGCGTTCAAATATACAGTGCTCAAAATAAAAAAAGCAGCACCCTTAATAACTTTTGATCGAATGGCCGAATTTTTACGAACCAGGACTTAATCTTAACATGTCAAAGGCCTTTAATATACTAATTAAATATTGCAGACGATACTTCATGTTACGAAATAAGACACAAAAATCTACTTTTTCTGAATGAACAAATGTTTTTTTTATGGTTTTGGATTCTTGATTCTTAAAATAGGAGATAGCCGCATTCTGGAAAATATGGTACCAATAGCGTGAAATATGGTACCAATAGCATCACATCAGGAGAGCTGCCGAGAATTTGTACTCCTCAACGGTATCTTAGTTTACTTCATGCGTATTACGCCATATCTTAAGAATTTTTTGAACGAATCTCATAACTTTTGTACACAATGGCAAATCTATCTTATCAATCAATCTAATGAAAGTTCTATGAAAAAACCTTTTTTAACTATTATTTATAACCTTTTGATACATTTCATCTAACAAATGGTCGAAAACAATTTTTAATGTAAGGAATACAATTTTTACATTTTTTTCAAAGAATGCAATTTTAAATTGCAAAACACAATATTTGAATCGGGTAAAAAGTTCTCTAGAAATCAAATTTTAAATTCATGACATTTTTAAAATTTGATAACCCAGAAACTATTCCAACGATTGCGTTCAAATTTTGTATTTCGCCATTTAAAATTGCATTTATTTAAATGATACAAAAGTCTTATATCTTATTGTAAAATTTTTCGCCCTTTTATAAAATAAATTAATAAAAATATAGATATGAGTTAAAAATTGTATTAAAGTCTTCTTATATTTCGCATGGAATTATCTTTGTATAAACGAATTTTATGATTGTGGGCAAAAATTCTTCAATTCGCTTAAAAATTTTCCGAGATAAGACGATATACGCTAAAAGTACAATTAACACCGGTTGATCTAAAACTTCGACAACTTTTCTGATCAAACTATTGAGACCATATTTTCCAGATTGTGGAATATATGGCCTCCTCCTAGATTTTGTTGATCAAGAATTTCGAATATGTCGAGGTTAAAAGTGTGTTTATTTAGTTTAAATTTTTTTTTGTTGTCAGATTTCGTAATTAAGAGTATCGTCTGCGCAAATTAATTGGCATATTTGAAGTCTGGCCCTTCAACCATTAAAATTGTATCTTAGCACGTGAAAATTCAATCATTGGATCAAAATTTATATACTTATAGCTCTAATCAAAAAAGATTTTTATTGTAGAAGTTCCGTAGTACTTAATTATTTTTTATTCCTTATGCCAAGTAATCTGAATGATCAGCTAGATCGTGGTAGCATAGGTTGACTATCTCACCAAAAATTTCTGAAATTATCTGAAACCACCACGCATTTATTTTGTTTATTCTCCATCTACCCTAAAGAAACAAGCAAATCTTACAAGAAGTCTTGCTGCCTTCCTTTGACGGCATAGCAGAGCGTAACTAGATATTTTTTTATTTTTTTCCCCAGTCTTTTCTCCTTGAAGCATTGCTCCATTCAACTCAGTGCGTGATGAGCAGGAAATTTAAACGTCTTAATTTCAGATAACAAGTGAGTGCTTCCACACATAATGCATCCAAAATAGGAACAATTACCGTCACTTGCAAACGAATTTTTCGCCATCGAAAACAAATAATTATGTTAAAAAATAAGTAAAAAGACGATGCTAAAAAAATATCATCAAAAATTCTCAAATTCAGCAAATCTTCTACCAGAAATTAAAACAACCTCTGCAAATACTACCAAAGCGAATATGAAACAAGCAAAAGAGCTTTCATAATTTTATTATAACTGTCGCTTAAATTTAAAATATTACAACAAAATAATTTTTAAAATCCATAAAAACAAATTCAAGTCAATATCATTCATGTTTAGTTTAGCATAAAATAATATTTATTATTTTTTAAACGATTATTTTAATAAATTTTGCCCAAATTTTCCTACTTGTACTTTGAATGACTTTAAGTATAAAACTTACCGAAATTTTCGCGACAGCGCATGCCAAAAAGTTTAGCGAAAACAAATAAATACGCATAAAAGAATATTTTTTAAACTTGTAGCTGTGTTGTTATTCCAAGTTTAAAAACCATTAAAATTTGATTAGCATTTAATTGTGAAAAATAAAGCAACTCCCGACATAGGCAATGCACCACAATTTTTAAATTAACATCCATTGATGACACGACGACTTCTATTCAAAAAGAATGGATAAAAAAAAAAGTCCAGTCATTATCTGCATTAGATTTTATTGTGTTAATGGGAAGAAAAAAAACTATGGAAATTTAAAGGGGATGACGACCTTAAAAAATTCAAAAAAATTTCTATTTATGCTAAGTAAAATCCTTTCAGGAAGTATTGGGCTCATATGCAAGAAAAAATTATTAAAATACCACTTTATATAGAAAGTCCGTACAGTTTGATTTTATCAGTATCAGGTTTCGCTATTTATTTTAGAAAATAGTTTGGATTAAAATGATCACGTTTAGGAAGCATTTCATAATCACTATCTCAACAATGATTCGACGTTTGAGATTATATTTAAAATGAAACTGATAGACATTAAGATACCAGACACATGAAATTTAGAATTGCGTAGCAATATTTAATCGCTTTAAAATGAATACTTTCGAAATATGTTATTTCCATGCTTAGAACTTGATATCTTGATAAGTTTTTCAAAACTGTTTTAAATATTCTATGTAGAATGCTTGAAAACATTTCAATTCAGAACTTATATGTAATTTTCTCATAAAAGGTAGATTAGTTGACAAAAAATATAAAAATAAGCCTTACATGTCTGAATTATATTTGAAATAGTGAGAAAAATAAACTCCAGAGGAAGTAGAAGTCTCTCCGGGACTATCTTTATAAGGGAAAGCTCTAAAACTTCTTCAATTTTAATCTGAATCTGGTTTTAAGAAAAAGCAGAGCAATTTAAATAAAATAAAGTACTGTTAAAAGAATAATACAACTATTATATGAAAACGTACTTTATTAATCCATAAGCATCAATTAGTTCTTTTTTTGATAAAACTTTCTTACAACTTGTTGACACGACCCAAAAACAAAAACAAATCATTTCTTCGGTCAACTACAGCGAACAAGAATGGATGGTCTGCATTGAAGTAGGCTGGAGGGGTGTTGGGATAGTTCAACGATCTTCGTTTTCGGTTTTGATTTCCATTATCAGTGACATCTAAAACAGTTTTGTGCAGAGTGCCAGAAACAACTAAATCTTCACTTGATGTCATTCCGGAGAAATCAGCAGGTCCATCGTATACGCTTTTAGCTCCCATGGCTGCGATGTCCTTGGAAAAGTCCCGAGAGTATTCCAGGCTGAACTTCGGTAAATTAACCAAAACATGGGTAGGGTGTAACTGTCCTATAACTTGCTCAACGTCCTCTGGTGTTATGTTATCTTCTAAAGCGGGGAGTCCATCTGTACGGAGTGGCAATAAAACCAGCAACGCAACATTTTCTCCAATGTATGGAAGTTCAATAACTTGGAATTTATCAGTTTCCATGTAAGGAAAATAACTCGTGGCTTGCATGAATTGAATATTCCTATAAAATGTTTGGAAATACCACAAAATTAGTTTTAGCATTATTAAGAATTAATTAGTAAGTATGATTAAATTCGTAGAAATAAAGCATCTGAAGGTCTGGTTTCTTAGGACAAGCGCCTTATCTGGGCGTCAGCGGGACGTCAACGTCACGCTGACGCCAACAAAATACTGGTTTGTTAGCTCAAGGCCTGGTTTCTTAGAACTAACGCCTTATCTGGGCGTCAGCGGAAAGTTGCCGTAGATCTGACGCCAAAAAAATACTTTTTTGTTAGCTCAGCGTGAGCAGTCGGTCCAACGCAGACATTATCCCTCATTGCGCATGCGTTAATAACGTAAACAAATATTTATTTTGAATTTGTATTGATTTTGTTATTGTCGACCAGTGTTTTAGAGAACAAATAATGACTTTGTTCAAGAAAAAACACATTATAGCTGAGCTAAATGAAGAGTGCTATGTTTAATGAAGAAGCTATGTTTAATGTCAAAATCAAAATCTTGGCTGATTTCAATGTGCTGTTGGATGTTGTCCGCCATTGCTTCTGTGGTTAACGTCACGCTGTAATCCAACTGCAGTTGAGTTGGACGGCAATTGAAGTTCAAGATAAGCGTTCGATGACGTATACTATCCAGCTCACAAATGGACCAATCAGAGGTTAGCGCTGATTTCCAGCTGACGGCGTCCTGTCCTAAGAAACCAGGCCTTAAGAGATTATAAGGAGATAGTTATGTAAAAGTTGTTGTGTAAATTATTAGTTAAACTGCTTTTGAAAAAATAATAATTAAATGCCATTGTTTTTGTAAATGACTTTATTTTGTTTGTAGAACCTCCATTTCTTTGTACTGAATTTCACAAAATTATTTTTTACATATTTTTGAAATTAGAGCTTTGAGAACTTTCCAAAAGAAAAAATTAATTTTATTTCTTTCAACTTTAATCTTCTGTTTTTGTGTACTAATTAAAATGTCCTCTAACACAATTAAAAAGAGCACACAAAGATCGTTTAAAATTATTAATGAGTTTACAAAACATGAAACTCAATTTTCTTTGAAATATTTCGAAAATCAATAAGTTGCTAAATTAAATTACTGTGAGAAAATTTTCAAAATTCATAATTCTTAAAAGAAAATAAAAGTTATCAGTTTCCCTAATTGTTCTTCGAGCAAAGCGGCAGAGAGTCAAGCTTTAACTTAAGCATTAAAGGACAGTATGGAAACAAATTTTTAAACTAGTTAAATTAAAAACTAGTTCTTGAATTAAGCCAATACTCGCAGTTTCTGACATTTTTCTATAATAAAATGGTTTAAATTAGTAACATGAAAAGTAGTTACATATAAATATCACATAAAGCAGTTAGTACCATTTTTTCCACGTATGTAGAGTTAGTATAATAACACTAAATATTCTTTTTTACACGACTTTAGATTAGTTATAATGTATATAATAAAAATCAGTTGGAGAATTTATGCAAACACAAAACAAAAGACTGTTTGACCTATCATATTCGCAATTTTGCATAATACATTTATTTTATTGTTTATAATAATAAAAAAAAGGAAATTAACTAATCCATTCTAGCGACGCAATACTTGCTCTTGTTGCAAACAATAACAAATAAATATTTTGCATTTTTATAAGTCTGTTTGAAAACTTAGCCTTTAAGCTATTCAGAATAAGGCAAAATGAATTAATGTTCCCGTGTTTACCTTAATATAACATGTTAATATTTTCTAATATTGCATGAATGCTCAATGTCACACTATCAGTTAAATTATAACCAGGAACTCTAATAAGTTGAGAAATTCTAACACAAGGTGTAATATTTCGAAAAGAGAGAAATTTCTTATAGTTTAATTATTAAATCAAAAATAATTTCGCATAGTTATATTTGTTAGCATTAAAGGAAACTGTCTGTCAATAATCAGCACAGTTATTTTGAAACAAACCTATATTTTGCTTTTAAAAAATTAGCGTTATTCAAGAAAAAAATAGTTTTTCACCTTCTTTCATACTACAGTTTTGACAGATTTTTCAGGAAAATTTTGATAATAAGATTATAAAATATGAACTTTAAATCTTTGAAAATTTCATGAACTACAGCAAAGACTAAAAGGAAATTCTGTTTTCATAGACCATTTAAAAAGGAGTTTTTTGCATTTTTATAGCCACTATTGTGATGACTATAGTCTGCTCAGCGAAAACTGATAGTAAATATAAAGGTTTGCTGCTTATCGAAAACTAACTTCCACCGATCCTCCACTGAATCAGCGATTCTTTTCTAACGGGATCAATATTATATGCGTCGTTGAACAGCCGACCCAATTTTTGGGTTTACGACTACTGATGTTCAACTTCGTAGCCTTGTAATTTTGAACCAATCCTGAAGACAAGGAAACTCCTGAATCGGTACCCTCAGAGGTATTGATTTGTTAGGGGAACATGCAGGACTTTGTGACTCGACAGATTTAGCGTGCATTAGTCACCATTCACTACACAGGGAGTCTTCGGCCGGAGGGCATCGGACCCACGAACTCTTGGACATGGGCCCAGTGCCCTACCAACCAGGCAATCTCAGAATAACAGGATCATTAGTTAGATTCGTAGTTCTGTTTGTTACAACCTTGGCATCAATCAGTCAAAAAAATGCCAAGTGTTTACTTTTACCATCAGATTTTGCTTAGTTCAAATGTGCATTATTCGCGTTGTAGCTTTATAAAACTTCAAATTATCTTACCTAGCATTTGACAAAGAGCCACCATTATAAAAGGGTTGCAACGGTCCAGCTGAAAAAGGCGTTTCCCAATTTCCCCTAAAGTAAACAGCATCTACTAGAAGTGAAGAAGTGTCTGGACTCACACTGCTGACAAGGTTATCAACTTTTCCGTTCGTTTTTTCTCTTACAAAACTGTTGATATCATCACTTATTTTTGGAGCGTTGTTCGAAAAGTCAACATTTTTTACTGTCGGATACTGTTCTTGGACCTCGCTTAGATATGAAGGATACAGTTGTGCCTGGCTTTTTACTAAGACTTCATCTGCGCAGTTCAGAGTGTAATTTATTGTTCTTGGATCATTTTCAGGCAGCATATTTGTGAAATAATAGCTGTATGTTGAAGGTACTTTGTCATTGGGTAAGCCTGCAGCCTTGTATCCTAACACCGTGTAGAGTTCCTGCAATGAAGTGAAAAATTACAATAATTCTTTAAATAAAATTTAAAACAAACCTCAAGACAATGCGCAAAAAAGCACTTTACCTTCAATTTGTGTTTTAATATGTGTAAAAATAAAATTCGGATATTATTCTTAAAAAATTATCTTAGACCAAATTTGGAATCAATTTTTTTAACTGAAATTATTTACATTTATGCATTAACATTGCTAGCACTGATGGACACAAACCAGTTATTCACTTTGTCTTCGAAAAAGTCGATTAAAAAATATAATTTTTTTATAAAATATATAATTATTATAATTTTATCTAAACTCATTTTGTTAGTGTACTTATCGTAACGAAATGAAAGGATAGCTATATCTGAAAAATCATCAACTGTACTTGAAAAAAATATTTAAACTTAAGAATAAGAAATATGCTACATAATAAGCAGTAATAAATAAGAAGTAACTTTTCTTGATAACAATATATTACGATAACTTTATATGGTGTAATAATTCGCATTTGAAACAGTTCTTATATCTCTGCATTCTTAAAAATATTAAAAAATATCTTTATATTCTTAAAAATTTCGATATTCGATTAAAATTTGATAAGAATAACAACTGACAACATATCTCTTATTTTTAATTTATACATTTTTTAAAAATTTATTTATTTATTTATTTTACTTTTCACATCAAGTCAAGCGCCAGCCTGTAAAATAAAAATCGCAAGAGAGATAATTTTTTTTCCCACACCAATGGATAAAAAATTATTATTTAAGGAAAAAAATTGCAAAACACCCTTAAATTTGCAATAATTTTGGAAAAAATAAAAATTTTGAAAAAGACTCTTGTTACAGTTATAATTCAAAATGACTTTATCAACACTTCAAATTTTAATTTTGTATTGTAGTTGCATTTCAGAGGACAGTAGTTCAACCGACATAGATCAGTTGACAGTAGATTATTAACTGTTAAATTTATGGGAAAAAAACTAATAAGTTTTTTACCTTAAATTTTTAACAGTTAATAATTCTCGAAGTAATAATCGAATCGTATTTTTTTATCCCATCGAACTATTTGTACAGTTTTCACACACCTTCGTAATTTCAAGTTTCTAAGTCTTATAAATTTTGAGCTGCAAAGCAAAATGTAACGTAAAACAGGAAAAAATGGAGGAAAATCTCTCAAAAAAGCAATTAAAAATGTAATAACTTTCAAAAAATTTTTAATCAACTTTCAACTCTGCTTCAACTCTGCAGTTGTATTCCTGCGGGCTGTAGAGTGGCCCGCATAGTACTTTTTTCAACAAGTTCAACTGTTAATAATTCTCGAAAAAATCATAGAAAGTTCCTTTTTTATTTCATCTGAATTCTTGTACACTTTTCTGCAATTTTAAGTTTCTAAGCCTCATAATTTTTAAGCAATAAAACAAAATTTATGTTAAGTTGAACGCTCAAAGCAGCAACGGTGACGTCGGAGGTCCGGAAATATTTTTTCGTTCTTGTCAAAAAAATTTCTCTTCTATTTTTAAAGTTTATATGATAATTTTGAGAGGAAAATATGTGAGTAACATCCTGCACATATTTTTCTATACTTCAAATTTAATTACAGCATATGTCGACATACAAACTGAGTAATATTTTATAATTTGTTTAAGCACTTACCTTTTGAGTATTTCCTCTGGCTCCATATAACATGATTCCTAATCCGGTCAACAAACTTGCGGGACATAAAACTACATTGTCTGAACTTCCTTTGATGACTCTGTGAAAAAGGTTTGCAGCTAAATGATTGTTAGCATCTGCAAATTTTTGAAGATCTTCATTTGTCACTTCTCCTTTATTAGCGACGACGTGGATAGTGATGAGAAGACACAATACGCAGTAAGCCTTCATTGTTATCCTAATACGATTCTGAAATAAAACAAAACTTTCATTTGAGACAAATTGAAAATCAAATACAATTTAAAGTGCTACTTGAAGTTAAAACAATATCAAAATCGTTTAGAAAGGATGCATAACTTGTTTAAATCGAACATAGAAGGCCAAATTAAAATAAAGCTGTTTTCCAGAGTGCTTGCAATGTTACTAAAATGACGATTTATATTTATACTACCTTATCATTGTATTTTATTAAGATTCTGACTGAAGAGCTTTGTTTGGGTGATTAACAAATATAAAATTAAAATAGCTCTAACTTCTGAAATATTAATCTGTATTATTATAACCTTTTATGTATGGCAAAATTAGCAGAATAATTGTAACTTAGTGGAAATATGTATTATAAAAAGCCGAAAGGAATATTACGTATCAAAATTCAGATAACGGCAATGTAATTACAGTTTATGGTTAAATGTTATTACTTTTAGCTTCAGTTTATTTTAATTTTTTCCTATTCATAGCTTTTCATTTTTTCCCCTACTTTTTATTAAACTACAAACTTATTACAGAAAGTTAATGAAAAAATTTTTAATCAGTGTGCTACAATTAACACAGCATTAAAACAGTTGAAATAACTTTTCTTGCATCTTTCAAAAATAGTAACCAGTTAATAACTATTCGCTACATAAAATATACTTTTAAATATTTGAGTTTATAAAGGACATTACCTAGCGAAATTTTAAAAATTTAATGAAAATAAATGCATTTAAAAAATTACTAAGAACTTAAGTGTAATACTAAGTACAATAATTTATATTTAATTATCTGAATATAATTAAATAATTTTAATAATTAAATAACTTAATTTTCTTGCATAAATTTAAAGAACACTTTTTTAAAAACTATATTCGATTCCACAGGAAATACCTTAAATTTTTTCAAAGACTCTAAACTTTTATAAGAAAAAAAAAATCCAATAAAAATATATAATAGTATTTAGTTCCCAGTAACCTTTAGTTAAATACTACATATTATAATGTTAGTTGGTTCTTTTCAAAATGAATTTCAAGTTTACATACATTTATATACATAATTCCTTTTTAAAAAAACCTTGACGTTTTGAGATAAACAAATCAAAGTATTCGAAGTCCATACATACATGCTATTGGTAATTATTGTAGAAAAATCAATTCAATTTATCTCATCTCAACAACTAAATGTTTTGTTATGAATCAATCATTAATTACATTTTTCGATGTCTCCTAAAGAATTAGTGGCAAAAATTGGCATTTCTAATCATTTTCTGCTGCAAGTTAAACGCATAGTGATTTAAAACAGAATATGTATAAATATTTTAAAAATATATATATAATTCGGATTTGAAATTCTCTCGACAAAGGTTTTTAAAATAAAAATTGCAAGATAAAATAGACAATCGTTAAATTCCTTCAAAAGTTTTTTTCTCTTTTATGTAGCTAATTATTGTTTCAAAATAAATCCTTGGTCTTCAACAAAAATATATTTTTATCATATCAAAAACATCGAAATTTAAAATATAACTAAATAAATAAAATATTTTTAAAAAAAGTGATATATTTAAGCGTTCTTTAACTGATGGAACAATCTGCGAAACAATTGATAGAAATATTTGTCGACAAATTAACGGGTAAATTCTATTATTTAAATAGCTTTGATTCGGTATTTCTCTTATTTCTGAAAAAAAGAAATATTAAACGCATTGTCATCTGAAACATGAATTTAATTGAAAAAAGTTTACATGTGAAAGTCAAAATTAAAAGTCAAATCGAAATTTTAAAATTTTTGTTATAAAAGTAAAGAACAAATTTGGGGAAAAAATAAACTTACCCGTAAATATCCAGAAAACAGTATTTCTTTTAAATTTATAGAATAGATAAGTGTTATTTATCATTTGTGTCTTAAATTTTATGATCTTTTGCCTTATTTATTGATAAAAGATAAAGCTTTAAGCTGACAACGAGAATTTCATAAGATATTGTGAGAAATAATTCTTATGGTATTAGATAATAACGTTATGAAACATCTCTCACACTTGACAAAATTTAATTAAAGACCGTTTCCTTTGACCTCAAAGTATCAGAAAATTTTAAATTCATAACTTTGTATGAAAAAATTCTAAAAATTCATTACTTTTTTTGTCTATTGCTTTTAAAATAACTATTCACTAAAGCAATCCCTTTATGGATTTTTTATGAAAAAACGAAAAAGAAAAAAAAAGTACTTTAAAGTCAAATAAGTTTAAATCATAAAATTAAATAAATCAGTTAACATAATTTGCTTACAATGTGAAAGACTTTTAAACTACATTAAAAGTTTTTAAACTTTAGCACAATTCTAGGAAATGCAGGAAAATAATTGCAAGTTTACTTGTTCTGTAACAATAAGAAACAGTCGTCTTGAACATTTAGTTTTCTTCTAAAATATAACAGATATCTAATTTTAAAAGCAAAAACAATCATTGAATAAAAACTAAAAGTGCTTAATACGTATGTATAGGAACTTCGAATTTATAGTTACACTGTGGAAACTTAACTGTATTTTAATCAGAATTATTATAATTTCATTTGAATAAACATTAAATCGTATATTCGCTTTTTACGTTACATTTTTATATTTAATTTTAAAAAAATTTAAAACCTCATCAAAAAAAGTATTATAGTATTTGGCTCGATCAAGTGATCGTAAAAATACGTTTAGATTTAAAATATCTATATTAATAAAAATTTTTTACAATATGTAGAATTTTTGTAGAAGGTTTTTAAATCTAAAAATATGAAAAAAAGATAGTAATAATATATAAGCATAACATATTAAAGTTAGAACTTACAGTTTTTTACTTCTTAACTCCAATTTAAGTTTCACGATATTTTGAAATAAAATAAGAAACTTATGAAGAAGAATCACAGATTATCCTTTTTATACTGAGTTAAAATGCGGAAAAAGAACAGTGTCCCATATTCTTTTAGTTTACTATAAAATATAAATCTTTTTTTTAATCTTTTGCATTGTGTAATTTCCCAAATAACTCTTAATATCACTTTGCTCTATAAAAAGGGTTGCATAAAGATAACAACTTGTAAATATAGTGTGATAATAGTGAAATTGTTTATTTACACATCAACTAGAAATTTACAATCCACCTAAATATGTGACAGTTACTCATAGCTAAATATTTTTATTTGTTGTTTTCTTTCATAAATGCGAATAAAGTGCAATGACTTAGGAACTGGTTGATAAAAGTCGAATCTACGGTTTAGGTATGTAACTATTAATATATTTTTTTGACCGTGTAAAAATTTCCTCAAAAATAATTTTAACAGCAAAAAATAGGAATAATAATATCAAATAAATAAAATAAGGGATTTCTCTTATAGATTATATTCAAATATACAGGGCGCAAAATAAGAAAGATATCAATTTGAATAAAATTTGTGCTAGTGAATTGAATTTTCTCAAATTAAATAATAGCTCAAAGAGATGACTTCAATCACGGTAATTAATTAGAACTTAGTTATGGAAATAAGCACAAAAACGAACTTTTTCTGAATAAACATACTTTTTATCCAACTATTTTGGATTCTTAATCCTCGAAATAAAGGGAACAGCTGTACTTTTTCGTCTCAATTGCTTAAGTTAGAAAAACAATTGAAATCTTGGGCCCCTTAAAGTTAATACGCATTTCATTACATATTGGGAAATTTTCAAACGAATGGAAAAGTTTTTGCACATAATTATGAAATTTGTTAATCCAATGATAATTCCTTGTAGCAAAATTAAAATTTATTTATTATTGTGTTAATTTAAAAGGTTGGAATAGTTTTAAATCGTAAGGTGTACAAATCATTTTCGCCATTTTAAATTATGTAATTAGAACTGAGTTTCTATTTTAAACTTATGTAATTCTGAAAACCATATAATTTTTACTCCGTTTCAGTATGACAAAATACAAAATTAAAACGAAATCATTCGAATAGTTTTTGAGAAATAAAAGTTAACAAACACATTTTTTTTTAATTTTATTTTTCAGAAATTGACTAATTTCATTGAATTCTAGATAGAGATATGCTTGACCAAGAAGCAAGAAGAGTTCTAGGGGTAGCGTCGCCAAAAGAACAGGTTTTTACCATAAAATAACTTAGGAGAATAATTCGTTGATACGTTTAAAAATCATTTTTAACAGTTACATTCAGTTTATTTTTTAAAAAAATGATAATGTCTCCGTTAATATACCTATTAAAGTCTTGAAATTATCTTAAAGCCATCACTAAAGTCTTGAATCTCAAAGTAGAACTCAGATAAACGCAGGGTGTTCACCACTCTTAATATATTAAAGTCAAAATGGAAATAAAAATGTTATGCACATTAAAGGTATATTTAAACTGCAAGCGATTTTAAAGATAGAGTCAGTGATACTTGCAGCCCTCATTAATGAAAAAAAAAGAGTTTATAACACGTTCTTAGATATTTAATTATTTTTTATGCGTTATGTTTGATAAGCTCTACTATACTAAAACTGACTAAGCTCTACTATACTAATCATATATGAGAATGGTAAAAAAAATATCCACTTTATAATTGACACCAATGATGTATGATTAATTTAATTAAAAATAATTATTGGAATAGAAAAAAATATGCTAATCACTAAAGATAAAGATTAATGGAGAAATGATTTTAATTAATTTAGGAGAAGCGTAATGCATTGTCATACTATTATTGATGCCTATCATGCTTAATTGAATTAGTAATAGCTACAAACTGAAATGAAAAAAATAAATAAATTCTGTTCTAAAAAGTATAATTAATAGTGGAATGGCACTAATTCGTTTAGAAGAAAAGCAAAAACTCGACTTATTATTTTTCACGTAAATGATAATTAATTACTGTCGACAATAGGTACTATAACTGAAATAAAAAAATAAATTAACTATGCACTGAGTAATAGTAAAAGTAACGGGAAAATGTTACTGATTCGGAAGGAACATAAAAAATCGCCATACTATTATTGACGCTAATGGTGCTTAATTATTTTTGGTAATAGGCACTTCCTACATTATGGTAATTAGAGCAATTTTAATTAATACCAAACACACTAATGTAGGTAAAATTAGTATATTTGGTACTTATTAAAACTGCATTACTACTGTACAGTTTTAATTTAGATAATGTGGAAAAAAAAGTGTTTTACGAACCTTTAAAAGGAAAAAGTATTAGAGAAAATCACCTAATTGTGGTAAACTTTGACCACCATGAGTTGGTCTCGAACAATAGCATTTTTTCGAGAGATGCTAAATACAGTTATTCGTTACTTTGATGAGATGAACAACTAAAACGTGAGGTTCGTTTATTCTGCTAACCAGTTAAGTTTGGAGTCATAAATCCCCCCCGAGAAACTTGACTTTCTCAGTGAGTTCTAACATATAATCAAGGTAACACACATCACCTAGATTAAGACGCCTTTTTCTGGTGAATGCCACAAGACTTATCTTAGAATGGTTAACAGATAAGCTAGATTCAGAACACCATCTAGTTACTTCTTGAACAGAGACTGCTTTGCCATACTTTTCTCTGACAACAATAACACCATCACTAGCATACCCAACACAGGGAATGCCAAGATTGGCTAGTCGAACTAGCAAAGAGTCCATAACCAGACACCATAGGATGGAGGACAAAATTCCTCCCTGAGGGCAGCTTGAAGTAGCATGAACTTTCATACTAGTGCCAACAAACATACCCTGGAGGACAGCAGATTAGTTATCCATCTGGTGATAACTGAATTGATACCTCTGGTTTTAAGTGCATTGATGATAGTCTCAATAGGGACTTTGTCAAAAGCCCTTTCAATGCCAATAAATACCATCAGAGTAATAATACCAAATGCCAATAAATGAAATAAATACCTCTTTATCTGAGAGCGTTATCTCAAGCATGAAGAAGATCTTATAATAAGGCAGAGTGATAATAAATTTATGGTATTAAAAGTAAAAGGCAGTTAAATATACTTCATAAGTAGTTTATATAAATATCATTCCAATTAAATTTCAATACATTTTTATAATATTTAACATATAGATTTTAAATATTCTATTATTATAATTTTAAAGACTAGACTTATATCAAACTTAGCTTTTGTTTCTGCCTAAATCAAAACCTTACCGAGAACTCATCTCGTGATTGCCAATCATAACATGAGTTCCCGATCTAACTGAAAAAAACCTCACCGAGAACTCATCTCGTGATTGCCAATCATAACATGAGTTTTCGACCTAACTGAAAGAAACCTTACGGAGAACTCATCTCGTGATTGCCAATCATAACATCAGTTCCCGATCTAACTGAAAGCAACCTCACCGAGAACTCATCTCGTGATTGCCAGACAGTAACAAGAATACATTCATAAAAATAAATATTTTTTATTTAATAATGTTACATTGATTAATTGCATATTTTTCGCAATGAATACTTTATAACTCATTGACACGGCCTGCAAACATAATCATTTCATTCCTGTTGTCCATAATTGCAAATAGAAATGGGTGGTTTGCGTTGAACACCATGACAGGAGGTAGAGGCATGGGTCTTGCCATCATAGGCATAATAACAGCCGTCGCAGCAGCTGCTTCACTTCCTTCTTCATTTACTTCAACAGCTGCTTTGTGTATAACCTGGCTGACATATAGACCTGCATCAGCAATACCCGTGAAATTGGCTTTCGAAGGGTCAAAAGCCTCACCTGCGCCAACAGCCTTAAAATCACCAGTCATGTCTCGTGAATAATCAACCTTGAATTTTGGAAGCGAAAGAACAACTTTTATCTTAGAAAGCTGCTTTCGTACAGAGGCTATTTTTTCATAAGTTAAATTCTCTTCTACGGCCAATAATCCATCAAGCTTTTTAGGTAGTAAAACCATCATACTTATGTTGTTTCCTTCGTATGGTAGCTCGATTACTTGTGCGTCACCAGTTGAGGCATATTTAAATACATCTGTCATGTGCATGAAAGGAACTGGCCTACAAGTGAAAAATAGCTTGTTTGAAAAAGGTACCAGAAATTTAGGAAAATGTTGAATCACAATATAGTTCTAATTTATTGCAAACTTAACCTTGAACTAAGTTGAACCACATTATTGAACATCATTACACGGTGCTATGGTTCATCATAGGAATATTGTTCAATTAAACACACCTTATTAAGGTTATAAAAAATTTACATTATTAAATTGTGCCATAAATTTAAAGTTAAGATTTTGTAATACGATAAAATGCTGTATTTAACTTTACATAAAAAGTGAGGATTATTATCAACATTTTAAGGAGCAATTAGCCGCATTCCATATTGGCAAAAACGCGTCATTTAGCATTACTACCAATTGGCTAATTAACACTTAATTTCCCTAATAATTATAAATATTAAACTGAAACTTTTTTTTGTCTTTCTGTTCATCTCATAAAGGTCCAAATTTGAGGCTTCTTTCTTGGTATAAAATGCGTTTTTTAACATTACTGTCAGTTTGGCTATTTACCTCTGATTAACCACCTATAATTAAAACGTATCAATATGAAACTGTTTTTGCCTTTATTTATACCTGATAAAGATTACCTGGTCTGCGTTTGAGCGAATACATTATTTAGCATAGTTGTCAATCGGTCTAATTATCCCTAACTAGCCCGATAATTTCATTACATCTATAATAAACATTTAAGTTTCTCCATTTGTCTCATAATGAGCCTATGATCTAAATTTTGGCTTTTTGGCTTAGTGCGAGGCGTTATAGATGAGGCAGTAAATTAATCTGTGATTGAGTGAGACTTTTGTTTTTTATGTATATAGATTACGTATGCACATAGAAAATAAATTATTTTGACTGTTTGTTTCTAGTGGGGCAATTTACTTCGAAACATATTTCAAAATGAAATATATGTTGTAATTAAAACTAATATTAACTTGAGGTCAGTTGACCACTTTACAATGAGTACAAATGAAAAATGAAGTACAAATGAAATCACCGTTGAAATAATAAGTTCAAAAAAAAGGTTCTTTGAGTTCATTAATATTTCATTTTGTTGAAAGAAGATGTCTAAGATGATCATCAACAGCTCAGCTGGTAACGAAGTTGGATAGAGAGCTGTTCCACTACAGTTGGTATCTTATTTGCAGATAGAACTCTTTTATATGCTAGTGGGCTGCACCCCCTGCTCGCTAACACTCGCCAACCCCCGATAATTGCTACGCAATCTTATATGGTTTGCTTCGCAAACCAAGCTCGTTTCGCTCGCTACTAACTTAAGTACATTGCAGATGCACGAAACTCTAAGAATTCAAAACAATCATTTAAATCCATATAACAACTTTTTTTAAAAAAAATAATTATTCGTGAAAAAAGCGCTTTCGACAAAATACTAAAATAGAGATCTATCGACAAAGACTACTCACTTCTGCCTAGCTTAATAGTATGAGATTGCCGCAGCTGATAGGGTGAATTTCGGAAGAGATCACATTTGGTGAGAATGCTCTCTCTCTCTGGTTATTTCAGTTTCCGTTTTTAAAAGTGCTATATGTAGATCCACCTCAACTAGATTTGGCATGTGACATTTTTAGCGGCAATCATTGGTCGATTTTCTAGCGTTGCCATTCGGGGAGTTGTAATGAGGCTTTTTTTGTCGCCGTGTAAGAGAAATATATATATATATATATTAAAGAAGATGGCACTTTTCAGGAAAAGGTCATCGTAGTTAGTTGGCGAAAGTAAATCTTTGATAAAATAAACAAGAAAACGTAACGGCATTCTTAGAACTCTTCTTCTCAATTATTAAAAAACTGCATCAGTCGACGGGATATGATTGAAAACAGTAGTTGGTGAAATTTAGAGAAATATCGTAGCATATTACCTGGAGCATAATTGGTAGGAAGAGATCATTTCAAAGAATAGTATGTTTCAACATGTTAAAAATATTGAAGTTCCGAGCAGGAACAATCCAGCTAAGCTTTATCATTTCCACCAAGAGTGAATTTTGACAAAAAAAGAGCTCGAAAATTTGGAACTTGGAAATTAGAGGTTCATATTAATTCTGAAAGAAAGCTGCCGGATACGCAAAAATCACGTGCTCAAAAAGCAGCAAAAGCGTTATGTGCTCTCAAACTATATAGTCCATCAAACTATATAGTCCTTAATTAAAATATTTTAATTTTCAGCTTAAATTGTTCTCCAGAACGGGACAATTCATGTACTAAGAAACTATATGCTTCACCCACGTGCTAAAAACCGTGACCTTTAGTCTAGCGCAAAATAGTGACCACCTCTGTTCAAATTCTATATCTAAAGTTACGTAAGTCTTAGAGGACATGAGCATAAATCAACTAGGAATGGTATAACAATTGGGTACCTGCAAGCTGCGCCACGCATACGTAAATCGTGGCCTTTGTATATGTCACAATTCACAATCAGTACATACTTGCCGACGCTTACAGGTATCCAATTTTCTGATCCAAAAATTGATTCAGCGTGATAATAAACCAAGTTGTAGCAATAGATAACGCCAAGTACAACCCTTTGAGGAGTAATTTAGGTACAATCCTAATATCTCCTCTAAGGTACAGCCGCGTGATTAGGCCCTATCATTTGATTTCAACTGTATTTTTCTTTTCGGGTTGCGAGTTACCAATTGAAAAATCATTTAAATGTGAGGTTAATGTGTCAAAATAATTAACTGAGTTTTCTGAAAAGGAAGCACCATCTACAGTAGAGCTAATAAAGGAAACGAAAGAAAAATACTTCAAGAAGGATCAGAGAATAAACAACATAAAACTGAATCGTAAAATATGCAAAAAAAACAAGCAAAATATTGCAATACATAAAAAGACTCAAAGTAATTAAAATGAAAGTCGTTTCAAAACATCTAAAATAAGGAACATTAAATTGTCCATATTTTTAAACAAGGAAGAATTCTATAACAACCATCAAGAACATCAATCATTCTAGAAAGTTGATAAATCTGACCTGAAAAAATTTTTTTGATTAAGTTGCTTCTTGTCTTATAAAGTACCCTACTAATATGTGATTCTTGTTAAAAGCTTAGATAAATAATAAGCTCACTGTATAAAATGATATGTTAACCTTCGAAAACACAATTTATTTTGAGAAGCACGGGCTGGATTCCTTTCGACTAAGACATATTGCACATAGTTACAGTTAATAAAATGCAAGTGTAACTTCTAAGGTCTATTATTAAATATTGCTATGACTTTTTTAAGATTTAAGGTGCATATTCTATTGTTGTGTTGTTGCTAATCCCCCTTGGCTTAGAAAAACGAAACGAAGTCGGGGAGACCATGCAACACAATTAAATAAAAAAACTGCATCCCCCTCATTTAATAAAGCTTCCCAACAGGGGCACCAATGAGATATGGGAGGGAAAAGCTATGGCAGAACAGCATAATTCCCTTCTTTTCCGTTAAAACTTAGACTCTTAATGTGACTAGGCCTAAGTCTAGATAGAGAGGTCTGAGTAAGTCTTAGTCAGGACAACTGCAATGACAGTCCAGGGGACTAAGCAGCATACCAGGCATATTCAGGCGGGGTCCTCCAAGTTGTGTTTATATTAGCCCAAAAATAGGGAATGGTCCTCAGAAGCTCGCAGTTTGATGGAAGATGAATTCGCTCCCTTCCCCAGCAAGCAGGTCAGAAACTTCGTTTCTGTAAGCACAAAATGCGAGGATGCCAAGAGAGTGTTCAAATTATGCATGCATCATGAAGCTGATCGTTAAGTTTTGAATCATTGAAAGAATCTCTTTAACGTCATTCATAATAGCAAATTAATGTCACATACATTAAAAAAATAGTAACAGGAGGTAAACCTACAGTACCACCCTGGGTCATAGTAGCCGATTTTAGAATGATATCTTGCCTTGTATATTCTTAATTATATGAAATATGTGGTACTTGCATTGCATCGTGTTCATTAACAATACACACCGAAGAACCATTACATTACGACCACCCTGCTAATAACATGTAGGACCACCTTTAGCCCTCAAAACTGCTAGCACCCGCCGTGACATTGATTCCACAAGGTGCTGATAGGTAGTCTGAGGTATGTGGTACCAAGCGCTCACCAACTGGTCCTGCAATTCCTTCACATTGCGAGGGGGTTTTCCAAGTAGGACCATAAATGCTCTATTGGATTAAGGTCAGGTGAATTTGGGGACCAAGACATGACTTGAATGTCACTGGAATGTTCCTCGAACCAATCTATGACGATTCGGTCATTATGACATGGTGCATTATCCTGTTGATAAACACCATCCCCCGCAGGAAAAACTGTTGCCATGAATGGATGAACTATGTTCAAGTAGCTTACAGACGTCAGGGATTGTTCTATGAGGATTATGGGTCCTAATGTGTCCCATGAAAACATTGTTCCTGGGCGAGAAACCATGAAACCCTGGGGGAGCCCATTGTTATAGATGGAGGGTGGTCATAATGTAATGGCTCTTCGGTGTAGATCTAATGCTAGAGTATTATAGATGAGTTTAAGGAATCTCAAAAAAAATTTTTTACTTTTAAAGAAAATCCTGTGCTTACGGTTCCTAGATTTCTAAATCGAACCCTGCTAATAGACTATTAAAGAAAAATTATTGCTCTATTGCCTGCCTTATAAATACATCAATGTATTTCAGAAACTCGTTGATGAATATTTGCTAAAAAAGTTTCTCTTCATTAACAGAAAAGTTTGCGTATTTCTAATGTAAACACCCTATACATATGAAATCGTTAAGAGAATTCTTGGGACTAATATCTTTTGCTTTGTTAAAAAAACAATGGCGCACTTAATTACGCAGTATAACATCAAAAACAAGTTACTGTTTTTCAAAAAAATAAAATCAGAATTGTATTTACTTAGCATTTGCCTCCACGCCATCATTGAAAAATGATTGGTCATTTGTAACTTTTGGGTTAAATTGTTTTTCCCAGTTACCCTTAAAATAAACAGCATTCAGAAGGAGAAGAGCAGTTCCTGGATCAAGCTGCTGAAGCAGGTTCGTGATTTTACCGTGAGTTTTTTCATCGACCCATTGATTGACGCTTTTTATTATTTCAGAAGAATCCTTCCCAAAATTCACTTCTTCAATTGGTGCGTGGAAAAGATTATTTAATTCTTCTTTAAACGCCTCATTTAAATGTAATCCATCTTTGATTAGTATTTGATTGGCAATTTCCAATAGGTATGCAGGATTTTTAGTATCAGCAGGAGGGAGTTCTTCTTCTAAAAGATGATAAAACAAATCTGATACTTCATCAGAATTTAAGCCCGCTGCTTCGTAGCCCAATGCATTCCTAAGGACCTGAAAAGAAAATAAACTTAAGCTAATTGGTTTATTTCTGAAAACTTAGAAATGAATCCAAATGCTACATTATCGTTATTATTAACATTGAGTCGTAGTACGTGATAATTTCATCATTAAATCAAAAGTTACTTAAGGTTTCCTTTGCATTTTATTGCACACTGTACATTGATAACGTTCCCTACCTTTTCTCTAAGTTTGTAACCATTGTACAGAATCAACCCGTGCACATTCATTAAGATTATTATGTAATTACATTCCATCAATTTAACGTTTAAAACTTAAAAAAGAAAAAGGTTTAAAAAAATGTGAAGTTTCATTTACAAAACTTGTTAAGAGTAGTTTTGTAAGAGAAAAAAAATTTAATACGTCATCCTGTCAGGTTATTTCTCAATCTCAAGATAAACATTCTTGTTTAAATTTTCATTGTCCTAGAATTTAAATTAGAAAAAAAACTTTTTATAATCAGATTATCCTATTTTGTCACATTTATTTTATTTTCTAAGCTTTGTTTAGAATACAAGGGACACAGAATACAAGCTTTTACATCTGAAATTATTTCATCATGTCTCAAAGTATCTTCAAATTAAATAAATAAATAAATAATAAATTGAATGAAAAAAGGTTTTGAACTCTTGGAAAATTAGGATGGATCTCCATTCTTTGAGTTTAGTGAGTTCTAAGCTTCTACCTAAGCGTTTTTTTTTCTAGATATCGTTTGCTGCTTTTTTTTTATTTAAAAAGACTATTTAAGAACGTGAAAAAACAAAAACAGATGGTATCTAGAAAAAATGGCCATTTTTTTTAAAGAGATCTTTAATAAAAAAGACTTTAGTAAATCCGTAGGTAAAGTGGCTCGCCACCGTGACATAAATTGACAGGTGCCCAGCGGTTAACATTAAATGAGAAATAAATCCAGAATCTTCCCAGGTCAAGAACGAGTGGTTCAATACCTGTAGTTAAAAAAATACTTTTAGAAAGTTCTTTTTGTAATAGAATGCTCTGGTTTTTTAAAAAACCGTTTTTTTAATACTGCTTGTGAACAATTTACAGTATCTAGGTAGAAACAATGTCACATCAATCGGTGAAGCCATTCACAACTTTATACGAAAGTTTAAACTGCAATGTTATTTAATGTTTTTGAGATAATGCGCTAAATATTATACCCCTACAGAAAATTATAAACCAGATGCTGGATGATTTCAAACAGCAGGAAAAAAAATTTCTCAAATTGAGGCTTCCATTCCTGAGTTAATAGTATGGTAGACATTCAATTTTAAATTGATGGAAAAATTGCTCAAAAGTAACAATAACAGGTCATAATGTAATATTACATAGTAAATAGTATGTAATATTATATTGTAAAATAATTCTTAAAAAGCAAACTAATCTATCCCTTTTGAATTATCTTCTGTTAGAACTTTTTCATCAATACAAGCTAAATTTTTGTATTAGTAAATTTTGTTCTTAATGGTAATATTTTTTCCTATACAAATTTCAGGAAAAATTGCCTCGATCAAAAAACAAAAAAGTAAATAAATGAAATAAAAACCATTAGAAATTTTTTAATAATAAGAAGTTTTATTTACTTACTTCCATTGTATTATTTCTTGCCCCATGGAAAAGCATTCCAAATGCCATAGACAAGCTCAGTGGGGAAAAGAAGATGTTTTTAGTATATCCATTTGATAACTGCTTGTAAAGTTTGAGTGCTAAATAATTGTTAGCTTCTGCTAATGCATTAACTTTTACTTTTATATCATGTTTCGTCTCTTCTGCAGAATTGATTGAAGCGTTAAAAAGGAAGAACAGCAAGAGAAATCCGAAAATATGCAGCTTCATCTTCTCGATTTGCTGTAAAATATAAGTTACGAAAGCGTTTAAAACAGTATTTTACAAGTTTTTTAACAGATAAGTTTAAAAGGTACAAATGTTTGCTCCTACAAGGAAACACTCTGATTCTTAGAAAACTTTTGTTTAATGATACATGCAGTAACTTCTGTCAAAACCCGCAAAATTAAAGCATATCAGAAGAATTTATTTAAAAAACAAAACTCGATACTAGATTTTTCTACGATGGGGATAAGTGTTAGAAATGTAAAAAAAAGAAGAAAAAATTTTAAAAAAATACAATACTCACATTGAAAACTCAAAGTATCATCTTACAGTCATAGTCCGTTGTTGACGCATGCCGTTAAGGCAAAAGGGGCGCGATTGTTCCTGTTTTCCCGTGGCGCCATCTATGGTCAAGAATTCGACTTCGACCCCACCCGTTTATAGGGCGTCCCAATCATTCATCCCCAGATCGTAATTTTGACCTGAATCAAAGAACAATCAATCTCCAATTCAATACACCCAGAGGTATTGATTTGTTATGGGGACATGGAGGACTTTGAGACTCGACAGATTTAACGTGCATCAGTCACCATTTACTACACGGGGAGTCTTCGGCCGACAGGGATCGAACCTACGACCTCTTGGACACGAGCCTACCAACCAGGCTACCCGGCCTTGCCCGATTATTAAACCTACTTATTTAACGAATATTTATGTCGTCACTTGCATAATGCATATTGAATGAGACGCCTGTAATATAATTAACTTATTTTTATGTCGTTTTCTGATTTTGTGCTGCTATGATGTATTTAATAACTGTACTAAATGTTTGTCCATTTTACACTTTATACATTTTCTTCTGCAATAGATTCTGCCCCATACAGCACTATGCTATGGTCTTGATTGAAGGAAAGTTTTCCATCATTGTAGAATGTTTCCTTGTAAGATGCGGAAAATAAATTCATCCGTTAATCATTTCTTTACACATGTGTGCATTTTCGAAACATATGACGCCCGTTTTTTTCATATTAAACCGGTTTCAAATAAATTCGATGATTGAGCAATGCTATAAAAATAGGCAAAGTGTTTCCTTTTTGACACTGAAATTTAAAATTGCAATTTTTGATAATAACGCTAAAATAAAATTATTGCCTCCCTTTTAAAAAAAACTACTTTAGGCCAAGTTGGTTGAGACCTGTACTTTAATTTGTGCTATTTTTTGCTTGAGATAAGCTAAATACGTTTTTAAGTACAGAACTGTAGTTATTGTTCAAAAAAGTATATAAAATAAGGCTCAGAACAATGAACAAACTAACATTTTACTAATATTTCGTAATTATTAACTGTTAAATTTGTAGAAAAAAACGCCATACGGGTCGCTCTACAGCCTGCAGAAATGCTTCTTCATTGTTGAAATTTAGGTATAGTGAAAGGGTCATATTTGCTTATGAACTAAATTTAAAGGTTTTTTTTTAATTCTAGATTGTTCGAAAGTTATTGCAATTTTAAGTCTTTTTGCGAACTTTTTATCACTTTTTCTTGCGTTACATTTCGCGTTTCTGCGCAAACTTTATTAGATTTAGATATTTGAAATTGCGATGGTGTGTCGAAAAAAGTACAGGAAATACGTAAAACTCAAAAATTATAAACTGTTTAACTTGTAAGGAAAATAATATTATGCGTTATCGATTTGCTACATGTTAAAAAAACAATTACGGAGTTAAAATTTGACATGCTGAAGAAACCATTTTTATTTGTGAACTTAACGCAAATTTTGATTCAAAATTTCAATTTGTTCGAAAGTTATTGGAAATATAAGTGCTTTTTAGATTTAAATATTAACTATTTATCTATTGTTGCAGAAAATTTATTCTTGCCTCCCGCTATTTTTATGTCTTAATTTTATAAGCTGGAGTAGATGTCAATCAAAAGTAGCAAGAGCGAGAGAGAGAGATTATATGTTGCCAGATATAAATCGTAACTTTTATATTAAAAGTTTTAAAAAAAACGTAATAAAAAGCAATAAGAACTCTATTGACTTTTCTCTATTGACTTCTCACTCTCACTCAATTTCTCTATTTTCTCTATTATCGACGATGTTCGTGTTCTCAGCAGTAGGGAACTGAGTTTGCGGAATTAGTTTCAATTTCCGGTAGAAGATTTACTCGTATTAATTTATATTTCTTACGTCATTTTTTGACTTATTTTTTAATGTAATTATTTTGTTTTCGATGGCTAAAATTCGTTTGAAAATGGAGGCAGTTGCTCTGCCTTTGAGTGCACTATGCGTCGAAGCACTAATTTCTTAAAATGCTTAAATTCCCTTAAGAGTCACGCCGAATTCACTGGAGTAATGCCTTAAAGAGGAAAGTCTGGAGGGAAAAAAATAGTCACGTTCCCCTATGAGGTAAAAGACAGCAAAACCAGGTTCTAACTACTTCGTTACGATGAACACCTAAACAAAATATTCTTACATAAGCCACAATAATTGTATGTTATTAAAAGAAAATAATCTTTGTTTTTGTGAGAAATATTGACGTTGAAGGAAAAACCCAACTATGAGTGAGAAGCAATTATGGGGGTTAGTGAGCGGAGCCAGCAGGGGGAGGAGCTTCCATCTTTAAAAAAAAAATATGAAACGTTCTTTTATATGAAACAGAATTAAAAGAATCTCAATGGGTGAAAAAGTATAAAAAAATAGCGAAGTATTCATCAAATGATAACTAATCAGAGTTCAGGGCCTAAAATTAAGCAAACTTAGCAACAAAAAATAAATAACGATGTTGCTTCCATTTGCTCGGTTTTCTTTTAAAAATTATATTCATATGAAATTATCTGATGATAATCACGAAACAAATTAAAGAATTTAAAGAAACGTGCAAAAAAAATCATTAAATAATTATTTGATGAAAAATGCTTCTTAAAATGTAGAGAAATGCGTCTTAAAAATTTTATTAAAACGACAACAATATATTAAAATTTCGCAAATTTTGGTTGTCAGAGTAACAGTCCAGAAACTCTAAAAGGATTGTTTTACCAAATTACTCTAATTGCATAATTTCAAAAAAAAAATAGAAACTGTTAAAACATAAAGTGTGCCGAAGAAGGACCATCCTGAATATCTTGAAATCTAATGCTCTGATCTTAATGTTCTAGGACTCATTCTCAATGGTTTGAAAGGGTGACCTCAAATATGAAATTAATTACTGCAGATGATATTTAAAGTTACGAAATCAGACACAAAAACGTGCTTCTTTTGAATATGCATACCTTTTTTTGCAACAGATTTGTATTTCTGATCCCCAAATACCCGCAATCTGGGAAATATGGTCCTAATAGTTTGGTCAGGAGAGCTGTTCCAACTTTGTTAATGTTAATTTTAACTTTTTGCGTATTTCGCCATATCTCAAGAGAATCGGAAAATGTTTGCATTTAATTATAAAATTCGTTTAGCCAAAGATTATTTCATACAAGAAATAAATTTTAGTAAATATTTATTATTTTTCATTATTTTATTCAATAATAGTCGAAAAAATTTTAAAACTGTAAATTATATAAATTTTTGCATCATTTTAAAGTATTTAATTTTACGCGGCAAAATACAAAATGTGAGCAAACTCGGTCGAATAGTTCTTGAGAAATTGAATATTAAATGCACGACTTCTTTAAAATTCGATTCCTCAGCAACTATTAAGCCGATTTCGCTCAAATTTTGCATTTTGCAGTGGAAAAATATTAAATGATGCTAAAAAGTGTGTGCCTTACAATTCAAAATTGTTATAACAATTATTTTGTAAAACAATAAAAAATAAATATTTAGTAAATTTATTTTTTGCATGGAATTATCTTCGGAAAAACGAGTTTTATAATTGCGTGCAAAAAAATTTTCAATTCGCTTTAAAGGATATCGAGACATGGTGAAATACGCAAAAAGTAAAATTAACATTGTGGGGTTCAAACGTTGGATAACTCTCCTGACCAAACTATGGGGACCATATTTTCCTAATTGCGGCTATCCCCTATATTTTGAGGGGTCTGAAATATGAATCCTTTAAGAAAAAAAAGGTATGTTTATTTTGAGAAAATGCGTTTTTGTGACTAGTTTCGTAGTTTCGTAACTTAAAATATAGTCTGCACTTATTAATTAGCACATTTGAGTTCTCCTCTCGAACCATTAAGATTAATTAAATGTTCCGTTTTTTTCGCATTGTACACAATTCAATATTACGAGGGTAGAAAAATTCATTCTCAATAATAAGTTATGTTTTTATTGCAAGTTGTTTATTTTAAGTTATTTATTTGATTAAATGGAGAAAAAAACACTTTTGCTTACTGCATATTTTAAAATATATTAAGAAATACAGAACCATGATTAGGTTACAATGGGTAAGTTTTCGAAATTCTGGCTTCAACTTTTTAACTAATAATTTGCATGTAGGAAATTATGATTTTCTTTCAAGTATTATTAAAATGCATAGTGCCTAGTGGCAATGAGTTCAAGCTTACTTTTAGAGGTCCGAGCCCCCTTCCTTCCAGAGCCCGAAATGCATAGCATTATTTAGATCTCGAATCCCCCTGGACCCGAGATATGAGTCCGATAATTTCTTCTGTCCTTAGTGTAAGGATAACAATTTGCAAAAAATCTAAATTAACAACTGGAAATTACATAATTATAGATTAATAATATGCAAATACATCTGATATTAAATGAGTGTTCTTCGATTTTGTTAGAATGTATTTTTACAGACGAATGAAAACTACGATATGCTTGGAGGCTCCGCCTCTGTTCGCTAGCGTTCGCCAATCCCCGAAGGATGCTAGCTTCACATCATTCACGATTCATTGAATATTACTTTTTACTAACAGAATAAAAATAATCTCTCGTTGTGTCATTTAAATACCATAAGTTCGCCATACTTACAATAACTGCATTTCGGTCACACCGACTCGCCAAGACACTATGTCCAGCGTCTGGTATAATACTGATGGAAACCCCAAAATGATTAAACAGAAATTTAAAAAGAAATCAAAATCTTAACCTAAGCATCTTAATCTTAAGCCTCACGAAACAAAATCGATGAACAGAAGTAACATATCTTTAATTTTTTTACACCTTATAAATTTTACATTTTTTTACTTAACAACTGAACCCAACGTTTGTTTAAAAGTAGCAAAAAGAAAAAGAAACATTTTATCATAAGTCCGAGTCGGGCTTGGGCTATCTCATCTTTAGTGCTTAGGTGGGTTTAGATAACAATTCATAATTATGTTTTTAAAAAAATAACTAACCTTTTTATAGACTTCTAATTGTTCACAGACCGACCACTGGCAAGCAACACTATGCAAACCAAGTATGTGAATAAGTAACTATGAATTCGATGTATATATATGGTTTCGAAAAACCATATAGCTACATAGATAAAATTTAATTTTTTTGTTTTAAGTAAAACATAAATCATTACAGAATCTAATAGCCCATTTGGCACAGTACATTTCCAATGTAGCAAATAAAGACTAACGTATGGACGATTAAAATGAAGCTATAAAAATCGATATGCCTAACTATATCAATAAAAATAATGTTATTTGAATATAAAGGACGTACTTGACATCTGATTCACTCAAACTATTATAAATATTACCAAATTTAATGGAAATATCTTAAATAAAAATTACATTTCAGTTCTGGCTGTTAAACATGGACAAACATGTTAATAGCAATAGAATAAATAGAAATGTATGTTTAATGACATTTAAATATAAACTTATAATGAAAGAAACATTGAAATTAGCCTGTGTGAAAACCTTAAAGACATTATGAAAGATTTTCTGTATAACGATTTGGGTAAGAAACTAATGATTAATTTACACTACCTTTAAAATTTTTATTTTCAATCATTAAATCCCATAGAGCTATATTTTCATGGGCATGTTGTCGACAATGAATAAAATGCCGGAATTGCGTAAAATTCCTACTCGTTTTTATGAATACCTAGCGTTTTTAACAAGATATAAGAGATGAGAATCATTGTATAGTTTATCTATTTATTGTATAGGGTGTCTAGGCCAGTGGTTCCTAATTTTTTTCGGATATGGAAAATTAAATGAGGGATCATCTTTTATCTGAACCCCAAGACATGATCCAGGAGTTCCCTTGTCTTCTTGATTGGGTTCAAGAAAATGAAAATTTGATATCATATTGTTTTATCAAAAGTATTAGGGCAAGCCAAGGGGATAGAACGTTCGCCTTCCAATGAGGTGAACCGGGGTCCAGTTGATACGAATTCCGCATCTGACTTGCACCGAATATAGTGCTGACGTGAAATATCCTCAGTGGTAGAAGTATCATGGGTTAGAGTCCCCTTGCCGTCAGGCTAACCGTGGGAAAATCTCGTGGTTTTCCTCGCCATCTAGCGCAAATGCGGATTAGTTCCATCGAATAGTCCTCCACGAAGGCGAATTTCTCCCAATACTCGATCCAGGAGTTCCCTTTCTTCAGGATTGGGTACAAAATTACAAGGATACGGGGTTGAACTTTGGATACGGGGTCGTAAGCCTAAAAATTGGGTCGGCTGTTCCACAACGGTTATATAAAATAAAATATTATTGGAGAGACACAAAGTCTTCTCATTTGATTTTAGTGTATGTTTAAAATTAATATACATGTTTTGAAACTTGATTTTCATTGAAATTAAGACAAAAAAAGAATGTTGTTGTTGTTCATTTACGTCGCACTAGAGCTGCACAATGGGCTATTGGCGTCGGTCTGGGAAACATCCCTGAGGATGATCCGAAGACATGCCATCACAATTTTGATCCTCTGCAGAGGGGATGGCACCCCCGCTTTGGTAGCCCGACGACCTGCACGCGAAGTCGAGCACTTTACGGTAGAACAGTTTAACGAGGACCAATACCGCACACCCTCGGTCCCTACGCAGGCTGATCCAAGTTGTCACCCACTCGCACACTGACCGTAGCCAGTGATGCTTGACTTCGGTGATCTGCTGGGAGCCGTGTCTTATCGATCAGTCCACTGCGGGACGAAAAAGAATGTAACAAATATTCTCATTGCTGAATTTGGTTATTTTTATTCGATGCAAAATTCTAATACAATTTTTCATATTTGTGCCCTTTTCCTAATTCATTCATTATATTTTTATAAGAATTTTTTTTTAAATTTTGCTTTTCTTTCTTCACTAGCGCTTCAATTAAATGCTTTTATAAACGCAACGAAAATAATTAACAAATAAAGAGTAAATAATTTGATTACAGGTTATAATAATAATAGCAGGTGGGGAAAAAAATTCAAACTCTCAGAACCTCTGTGACTCTTCCACGGAACCTTTGGCTTACACAACACACGATTTGGGGTAAAAGCTGGTCTAGGCCTTCCATTATATAACAAGTGCTCTTAAAGCAAAGTAAGAAATATGAGAATTCTTACAAACTCTGCTTAAACTGGCGGCGAAATTTTTGTGTTTTTAGTTGTACAAAAGGTGACATTGTTGACTTCTGACAGCTTACATCTCTGTTTTTTCAAAAACGAGTTTCACGAGAATCTTTTACTGTAAATCCTGAATTCATTATAACATATAATCAATATTTATCTTATGTAAGATAAGCACCAATTATACCAAAGTGGATAGCTATTGTGGTGTAATTTGTTAAGATGGCTTTTCGAGGATCTGTCCCCAAGGTTTTATAAAATTAAGAAAGAAAATGAAAATAAAAAAATGCTGTTTCAGTGCCTTAGACTCAAAGAAAAGCGATGATTTTAAACTACATATATCATCCTACCGTTAAGAATTATCTGGGTTTCAGAATGGACTAATAACTTAAATATTGTTTTTTTAATCGCCAATTTGGCAAAATGTTTCCAAATAGATTAAAATTATCAAAACCACTGCCTTATTTGTCAATTTTCGCACATTTTTATGAGCTCAAATAATGCGCCATTGGAGTAAGTTTTTAAATATTAAAAAAAAATAGAACACAAACACTTTTCATTTTACCAAAACTGTTCCTTTTCTGCACATTGTTTTTCTGCGCCATTTTCAGAGTAGGCATAAACAGCCCAGATTTCAGATAAGTTAAATTTGATCTAACAGTCATGAATAACTGCTGGAAACTCACAACAGTTATGAAAATAACTCATAAAAAAGCATAATTTCATATGACGACAGAGCCATTGAAAAACACAGCCTCACTGACATCAAATCAGTAATTTTAAAGCTATGGGAAACCAGGAGTTTCTATAAACCTAAATAATCTAAAGTCAAATGAAATTTTATATATATATAAATATATAATATATATATATACATCAGTTCCTCCTTCTTTGTTAATTAAATTGAGTAAAAAACGACGATTATAAAATAAAAATAAATAAATGAAATACTGTACCTACAACTAGGTAAATATGAAACTAGTTTAACTTTGGTATTTTTTAATCTGCAGAAGCGATGAGCTTTTGCCGATATAATTACAAGCCACATTTTCAAATTGTTACAGGAGAGCGTTTTTTGTGAAAGCACAACGTCTTCCATGTAGGCCATCAAATGTTATAGATTTTGCTAAGCTATGTATGCGTATTGCGCTGCTATCAATTGAATTCCAGAAATTTACAGTGTACCTATGAGGAAACAATAACAGGTGACATTTTGATGTAAAACTTCCCCTACGAAAAAATGTGATTTATCATTATATTACATTATACCCTTTACTTATATCTTGTGTTTGCTCATTATTCAA